ATGTTTAGAGAGAGGGGAACATAGGGAGAGAGAGAGGGAGAGAAACAATGATATTAGAGAGAAACATGAGTTGGTTGTGTCTTGCATGTGCCCCAACCAGGGACCAGCCCACAACCCAGGGATGTGTCCTGACTGGGAATCAACTGGTGACCTTTCATTTTGCAGGACCATGCTATACAGCGCCACACTGGTCAGGACACTTTGTATAGTATTTTTAAGTGAAATTTTATGTAAAATATACATACCTAATTTAGTCTACTGGTTTCTTTACTTTACCATATTAAGTGAAGTACAGAAACCTTACTTCTTTTTTTAATTTTTTATTTATTGATTTTGGCAACAGACAGATACCGATTTGTTGTTCCACTTATTTATGCATTCATTGGTTGATTTTTATTTGCCCCCTAACCAGGGATGGAACCCACAACCTTAGCATATTGGGGTATCACTCTAACCAGCTGAGCTACTGAGCCCGAAAACTTGCTTCTTTATATCCCTTTACTCTCTGCCATATATAATGTAATTGCCTTAAATATTTCCTTTAAATATACTTAGAGCCAAATCAGGGAGTGTTATAATTTTTGCTTCAACTGTCAAATGTAATTTAGAAAACTAAACAGGAAAAGGAAAACCTACTGTATTTACCCATATTTTTGCTTATCATGTTCTTCCTTCCTGATGTTCCAAAATTTCTTCTTTTGTCATTTGCCTTCTTTCGATCACTCCTTTAGGTTAGGTCTACAGGTGATAGCTTTCTTTTCATCTGAGAAGGATTCCCCCTTCATTCCCAAGGGACCTTCCCTGGGTATAGGAATCTGGATTGGCAGTTTTCTTTCACTGCTTAAAAAAAAACACTGTGCTGGTTTCTCAGGCCTCCATCGTCTGTGATGAAAGTCTGCTGTCATTCTATGCTTTTCCTTGCAGATGAGATGTCATTTTTCTCTGGCTACTCCCAAGAACTTTTTCTTTCTGTTTAGCTCTCAGAAGTTTAATTATGATGCATCTTTGGGTTTATCCTGTTCAGGTTCGCTCAGCTTCTTGAATCTGTCATTTGGGGTTTTTAGGTGACCATGGAAAAATAAATCTCCACAAACTGCTTCCTGTAGCCATGACCTGTGGTGTAGACCCAGGGCCCTGATCACTCCTGGTCTGTGTGCAGGAGCAGATTCCACACCTTCTCCTGAGGCAGTTCATGGCACTACCCTGGGATTCCTTCATCCCCCTCGGGGTCAAACTGGCATCTATGTAGGAACACGCTCTTGTTCAGACGCTTATCCTTTCTGAAGGACTTCAGAAAGGGAAGGGGCAGGTGTGGACATTCTAAAGGTTTCTCTCAGGAGGCTGACTGTTAAAGCAGAGGATGCCATACTTCACCAGCAACTCAAATAAGCTTCTCTACAAGTCCTTCTCCAAGAAGAAAACCTCAGACTCGTCATTAACCGACATCTACCAAAAGCTTGTTAGAGAGAAACCCTGGTTAGAAAGGGCGCCCTGAACTACATACAGCTCATTCATGCTGCTCAACTAGTGCTGCTTCGCATTTTTAGTCTCTTCGTGGTAAATACTCTCATAACCTTTAAGGTCATTTGAAATTTAAATTAAGTTAAACATGAGTTTTAACAAACAGGAGATCAGCCATGGCCAGGTTGCTCAGTTTGTTAGAGCACTGTCCCAATACGCCAAGGTTGCAGGTTTGATCTCTGGTAAGGGCACATACAAAAAGCAACCAGTGAATTCACTAATGGGTAGAACAACAAGTTGGTATTTCTCTCTCTCCCTTCTTCCCTCTCTCTAGAATCAGTAAATTTTTAAAAATGTTTTATATATCTAAAAAAGCTTAATATTAAAAAAACCCAACAGGATTATCAACAACAATTTTGAATATGCTCCTTTAACTACCACGCCAGGGGTGTGGCCTCCTAACCACCAGTCAAGACTGACAGCCCTGGAGCTTTTGCTCCTTCCCTCGCGCTCCCTACCAACCCAGAGCACACCCTGTCACATCTTCCTAATGTACTTCGCTAAGCTCCAAGGGCCCTCCTTTGTCTCCATAATTTATTTCCTTAGCCCATTTCTTCTACAGCTCACTTTTAATACCTCTATAACTTTCTAAATAAACTTTCTTTTATAGTTGGAGAAAAAAGATTATCACAGCCTTTAGGCACACTAAGTATTACTCTAGATTGAAGAATTCACATAAAAACAGTATTGTGGGCCCTGGCTGGTATGGCTAGGTAGATTGAGTGCTGTCCTGTGAACCAAAAGGTTGCCAGTTTGAGTTCCAGTCAGGGCACATGCTTGGGTTGTGGGCCAGGTCCCCAGTTAGGGGCATGTGAGAGGCAACTGGTCATGTATCTCTTACACATCGGTGTTTCTCTCCCTCTTTTTCCCTCCCTTCCCCTCTCTCTAAAGTAAATAAATAAAATCTTTAAAAAAGAAAAAAAAACAGTATTTTGGTCCTTCAAGCGTTTGTACTAAATTACATTTAGTGGATGTTGCAAGAACACCCCTATGAGTAACAGCCTGAAGAAACCCGTGGTGAAGTTTACAGAGATGCTGGTCTTCATAACATTATAACCATGAGAGCCGAGGGAAGAGGTTCTCATGGATTTCAGTGTTATGAGTGATTCTGCTTCTTCTGAGCCACTAACTGCTGCTAATCTTGGCCACAGCGAGGACTGCAGAACCGATCACCATGTCTCTCCCCACTTGGATCTAAAAGGCTAAGAGCTATGCCCAGCTCCTAGCAATGGATGCCTATTGAATTGTGTGTACAAACCAGAGTGTTGGCCTCACTTTGTATTTTATACATTCTAGTTTCATCTTCCCCTTTAGCCAGTTTTTTCTAACCACTCCTTTTTCATTTGCTTTATTTTTTTTACACCAAGCATCCTTATATGAGTCGTCTGACATCCCTTCAGAAACAGGGTTGGGCATAAAAAAATAGAGCTCTTCATGTATGGTTGAAAGGAAAGTTAGGAAGACAATACATGTACTGATTCAATATGAACTAAGTGCCTATGTTCAGCCAAGTTCTATGCTAATGCTCTATGAAAAACAGGAATAAAAAATAAAATCCCTTACCCTGGCTGGTGTAGCTGAGTGGACTGACCACGGGCCTGGGAACCAAAGGATCGCGGTTCGATTCCCAGTCAGGGCACATGCCTGGGTTGCAGGCCAGTTCCCAGCAGGGGATGCATGAGAGGCAACCATACACTGATATTTCTCTCCCTCTCTCCTTCCCTTCCCCTCTAAAAATAAAAAATAAAATAAAATCTTTAAAAAAAAGGAGCACGTTTAAAAAACAAATAAATAAATAAAATAAAATAAAATCCCTGACCTCAAGTGGTTGAAATGGAGAGGCAGAGAGACGAATGAACAAGTAAGTATAGTGCAGGCCAGCTGAGAGAAGCAGGGATGCACAGCGCTGGTGGTGGCCCGGCACCAGTGAGCTAGCCCATCCCCGTGAAGGACATCACCAGTGCACTGCACCTGCCCCCATCTACACTCACTACAACCTCCTGAAACCCTCCTCTGCTGTGTCCACCTGTCTGCCACATCACCTCTTTCCCAGCATCCTCTCTTGCCAGCTAGTGCACAGGTCATGGAAGACCGGCCCTCAGGCATTGTTCCCAGGGCTGGGCAAAGGCCCTCAGATTCAATCCAGGTATGCCAATTGCTAGTGGATGACCAAAGGAAGCAGCTTAATCCTTCCAGAAAGCCTGAAGCCACTGCGTGTCAACAACCACACATGTGCCCCCTGAGGAAATCCACTCTGGGAGAAAAATGTTGTAAGTTCGTATGTTATCTGCCATGGAAACATCCAATAGCAGGGGGAGTTTTAACAAATTAGGACACCACGATGTAACAGGAAATTCTGCACCAGGGCTGGGTATAAAATTCTGCACCAATTACAAACCAAAGAAATCAGGAAGATACTTAAGTGAAGAAAAATAACATTATACTTGCACTGTAATTATAATTATATTGAGTCAGTTTGCATATGGAAGTGACTGAAAAATGCAAAACAAAACATCAGGGGGGTAAGAGTCTGGTCACTCTAAACTTTAATTTGTTTTAAAATAACATTTGGCCCTGGCTGGTGTAGCTCAGTGGATTAAGCATGGGCCTGTGAACCAAAGGGTCACTGGTTCGATTCCCAGTCAGGGCACATGCCTGGGTTGCAGGCCAGGTGTCCAGTAGGGGGCGTGTAAGAGGCAACCACACAATGATGTTCTCTCCCACTCTTTCTCCTTCCCTTCCCCTATCTCTAAAAATAAATAAAATATAAATAAAATAAAAATAATATTCACTAGATTGGGATTTTGTTTTTTTTTTGTTTTGGGAGGTTTTTTTGGTCTGAATATAAGTATATTCTTTGTAAAAAGTCTGAATTCAGGACAACACTGAAGAAGAAAATAAACACATATGTAGCCTTCCTTCCCAGATGTGTAAAGACTCTAAATACTTGGGCTGACGTCTCCTCCTAGCCTTTCTCCTCTTCATTTGCACGAGTTCCATTCAGACTTTTGGAGCCACGGAAGCGTGGAAAGAGCTGGCATCTGACCCAGGACTTAAAGGGTGAGGGTGGAAAGAATGAAGAGGGTGAGGGCAGGCCGCCCAGCCAAGATGACAGAGGCATGAGCATGCACGCGCAACGTCTAAAAGAGTAGGGCAGTGGACAGGGCTGAAGGGGAGGTAAGTGGAGGGTCCAGCAGCAGCATCAAGCTCACCACTGAGCTCTGTGGACTGGCAGGCTTCACGCCAGGCCATTGAACTACCCATTGTCCACAGTGGAGAAGCAACCCAAGGTTCATGTGCCTGGCCCACAAGAAACAGTAGTAGAAGAAGAATTTGAACCCAGAGTCCACACCGTCTTAACCTATGGCAGAATGCTCTGCATGTCATGTTCACAATTCATAACCCTCGAGACAGGCGTCAGCCAGGAACAGGGAGTGTTTCCACGGCGGCTAGTCTGAGCTGTACAGAGCCCCACATACCATTCATGTTCCAAGTAAAGGCGTCCCTCAGCTTCTGCCCATCGATCTCCATGTCCAGCCGAATGGGGACCAGCACCTCAGGCTGGGATGCATTCTCGTGGATCACTGCTGGGTCGTGATCATCAAAGCTGGAAGTGAATGGCAGCAAAGTCAGCAAGGGGTGCTATGGGTCCCCCCAGAGCCTCCCTCTCTGCACCACTGACCACTGCGAACCTGGCCAAGGGGGAAGAGCGCTTTTTATGGGCACTCGTCAACTAAGGGCTGAGTCAGCAGAGACAAGGCAAGCAGGGGTCACAGGCCGCAGAGGCAGAGCTGCACACTTCATGGACACATGAGAAAGTGGGAAAAGATGCTGGCCTAAGCAGTGGGACAAGACCCAGACATACTCTGACAGAGCGAGATTTAAGCTCCAAGGCAGGCAGGACTATCACAGAAAGCTGAGGGAAAGGAATTTCCAAAAGAGGGAATACTTGAGCAAAGGCCAAGGGACAGGGAGAAGCCAGGAGTTGCTGGGGCGGCAGCAGCTGGAACACTGGAGGCAGGGTGCTGATTAGATGGGGGAGCAGCATCAGAGACACTGGGAAACTACAGAGTCAAGGTACCAACAGTTCTCCACCTCAGGCTTCGGAATCCAGCCTCCACCCTGAGGGGACTCCAGGAAGACTGAGCAAGAGTTTTACATGGTCATATCAGATTTTAGGAAGACAGAGAGGGAAGAGATGTGGGGATGTTGGAGGGCAGGGGAAATCTAAGAGCACCTGCTCTCAGAGCTTAGGGCAAGGATGACAAACAAACAAACAAACAAACAAACAAACAAGGAAAGCACACCACATGCATCCTGCACACAAATCCTCTGGGGAACACAGAGGGAAGGGGCAGGAGCGGACATTCTAAAGGTGGAAGGCGACCCTGAGAAAATGACATTCAAAAGAGGTGGAAAGGAAGGAAAAGGAGGGAGGAAAGGAGGGAGAAAAGGAAGGAGGAAAGGGGAAGGGAGGGAGGGAGGGAGGGAGGGAGGGAGGGAGGGAAAAGGAAAAGAAAGGGGGTGAGCCATGCAGATACTGGCAAGAAATGAATGAGGCTAGGATGCAGAGATGAATGTGGGGATGGGAGCTTGAAAAATAACCCCCAAAAGATAGCTATGTCCTAACCCTTGGAACCTTGACTATTGCCTTATATAGCGGAAGGAGCGGGTACTTTTGCAGATGTAATTAAGTTAAGAATCTTGGAAGAGATTAAGCATCCTAGTAGGCCGTAGATTACATCACAAGTATCATTATAAGAGACAGACAGGAGTAGATTTCACACACAGAGGCCACAGAAGCAGAGACTGGTGATGTGGCCACAAGCCAAGGAATGCCAGCAGCCAGAAGAAGCTAGAAGAGGCAGGAACAGATTCTCCCCAGAGGCCCCAGAAGTGCAGCCCAGCCAACACCTTGATTTTGGCTCCATGGAACACCCAGCCTCCAAAACTGTGACAAAATAAATTTTTGTTGTATTAAGCCACCCAGTTTGCTGCCATTTGTTCCTGCAGGAGAACTAATACAGCAGGAGTCACTTGGGTGGCATCTGAAACCATGAGAAAAAGTCCAAGGAATGGGTCCCCAGAAATTCTAATCAAGATACTGGGGAAATGAGGAGACTGGCAAGGCTAAAACAAAGAGAGCTGGGGGGCTGGAGCAAGCCAGAGACTGACATCCTGGAAGCTGAGGGAAAACGGTTCCACGGAGAAGGCAGTATGGCATTTTAGGGAACTTAAGGTAAAGTCCAGTGTTTTTGGTGGGAGGAGGAGACTAAACTGCATTCCAGCACTAAGGCAGAATCAGCCAAGAGGGCGAGGTATGCTCACCAGAGAGGGAAGGTTCTCTTCTTGTCCCGGCCCATGCGGTTCCTGTTGATGGTCGTGGAGCATGGTACGGCATCCAGATGGTGGGAGCTATTGGGCAGGGTGGGCACCCACTGATTGTTCCTCTTTGCTTTCTGTTCCCTGGAAAAACATGGGAAATCCCTCCTCAGTCTATGAGCCCGATACTACCCACCGGGTATTGAGTCACAGTCCACAGACAACCACGGCACCCCCACTGAGCTCCAGATCCCAGTGGGAACTTCTGTGAACCCCAGACTCTGTAGGTTTGTATTCCCTAGGCTCCCACCAGCACCTGCTTGGAGGTACCCGAGCTAGGGTATGGGTGCAAAGGGGCCCCAACATGTCAGAACAGCCTCCCACCCAGTGCACGAGCCATAAGTTAACATGCTACGTGCTGGCTATAGCTCCACAAAAGAACTGTCCCGCCCTGGCTGGCGTAGCTCAGTGGATTGAGTGCGGGCCTGTGAACCAGAGTATTGCGGTTCGATTCCCAGTCAGGGCACAAGCCTGGGTTGCAGGCCAGTTCCCAGCAAGGGATGCGTAAGAGGCAACCATACATTGATGTTTCTCTCCCACTCTTTCTCCTTCCCTTCCCCTCTCTTGAAAAATAAATAAATAAAATATTAAAAAAAAAAAAAAGAACTGTCCCTTTTGTGGGGAAAGAGGGAGCTTCTTAGAGGAGTAGCGCCTTGAGCACTAAGTTCGGGTTCACTGGGGCGGGGGACAGCTGGAGGGGAGAAGGCATTTCAGAAGCACAAGGAGTCGCAGGGATGAAGCAGTAAGTAGGCTGTAGACTCGACAGGGGCTGGAAACATGGGGCACGAAGAAGGTCTCCATTATAGGGGCTGGTGTGTCCTATGAGAAACTGACTGCACTCAGCAGATGGCTGGGTGTCCCTAGGGGTTTGCAGCAGGAAGAGGCATGATCAGACTATTATTTTAGACATGCCGGCCAGCCTGAGATGGTCTAAGCAACGCTGCTGGCCTCTGGACTTCTGACCAGTAGAGGTGAAAAGATGCCATATTGGTGAATACAGTCTAGAAAACAACACCCAAAATAATTTAAGTAGCCCATGTCCCCTAAAAGGCTCACTCTTCTCTCCAAATTGCAGGCTGCTTTTACCACTAGGAATATACCAAAAGCTATTTTAAAATGAGGCTCCAGTGTCAGGTTTGCCAGATGAGTGCTCAGGTTCCCACTACGCCCTGAGTCCCTTTCTTGTCCCTGGGGCAGCCTTCCTTCCCCAGTGAGACTACGAGCAGTGTGAGGGCAGTGGCTGTGTACAACTCACCTATATAAACACCTGAGCCAGTCCTCTTCAACAACTGTTTGCTACACCTCAGGGAATGTGACAACCGCTAGACTTCCTGCTGCTCAGCCAGTGCCATCTCAGGAGAGCCAGGAGACACTGCTGGCAGCCCTTCCCCTTTCCCCAGGTGGTGGAGGGCAGAGGCAGTGGCCACAACCTGCCTGGGCCCAGGCCCTTGAACCCTTTTCTCTTCTAAGCTGGGGCCACTTGCACCTCAGGTGCTGAAGTCCAGGAGCATCCCGATCGAGCTCGGGGTCAGAGAGGAATTCACAGCACCAAGTTTGGCCAGGACTCTGTCGAGTCTCCCATGCCCAGGTCTTGCTTAGATCTTATGAATGGCCTTCACCTTGTATCAGAGACCTGGGGGAATGGGAAACAAGGAACTAATCTGGGTAGGGCTTAGAGCTGGGGCAGCGAGACTAGGATCTCCACCACATCCTGTCTGGGCCCACTGGCCATGGACTCACTTAGAAGCACCAAATTTTAAGCAGCACATTCCTGAGCCCCACCTAGATCCAGTGACTCCCATCTGGGGAGGGTCTGAGAATATGGATTAACAATTTACCAACTTCTATGGCAAGGCCTGTGTGTGCCCCTGGGCCTAGACTTAGGGTCCTTGGGTCTAGCACACCACCTCTTTTCTGAGCCATTTAGAGCTTGTAATGAGGTCCTCCCCAAAATCCTACTCTAAGTCAGCAACAATCTCACTCATTTCCAGTCTGGTGTGCTCTACCAAGTGACATCACACACACAGCGAGCACCGAATCCGAGGATCTGCATCCTGTGATTCAACCTTCTTCCACCACTGGGAGGCCTGCCTGAGACTGACCTGCTCAGTGAGGGAGCGGGAAGGTGCCAGTCCTCCCAAGGGCTGACTGGACAGTGAGAAGGCACTTCCCAAGCATAAAGCCCGTCAAAATGCACAGCAGCTTCCCTGGAACCTTCACCCGTCCCATGCCCCCATAGTTCTGACCTCAGGGGTAACAAGACCCTACTCCCCCCTCAGCTGTTCCTCAAATGACACAATCATTAAGAAAGTGTTCATCACCCCTTAAAAGCTCCCCAGCTGACGTGTGCAGACTTGAAAGTCCGCTCCATATGTACCTAATTTCCTTCTGCCACTTCCCTGGGTGAGTCTCCCCATCCATGTGTTTTACCACATCCCTCGGGGAAACAGAAATCTGCATAGCACACATCTATAGTGCTGGCCAGGTTAGATGCGAGCCCCCTTTTTTGGCGGGGTGAGGGGTGGGGGAAGGGAGATTATATAAACAATCCAATAGTAAAGTTGAGAGAAAAATCTGAGAAATAATTTTTCAGAGCCACATCACTCTCAACAAGAACGCTCCCGACCCCCTTAGTACCCCTGGGGTCTGTCTGGTGCATAGGGGTGCATGTTTTCCTGAGAACTGAAAGCCTAAGGCAGGTGTTCCAAACACCTTGTGCACGTGAGCCACAGCTTTCAGTTGCTGCAGAGTCTACGCAATTACAGCATATAGGGTACATCCTGGTCCATACTGGTGAGTGCACCTTCGCTCACCCAGCCTCGCCCTGAGGCTGGACACTTAGGTGGCTCCATATTTCCCACTATTATTCTCAACGTGCCCAAGGGCATCTCTGTATTTATAACAGTTGGTGGCGGTGTTCTTGTAAATTATTTCTCTGGGACAAATTCCCAGGGGTGAAATTACTGGGCCAAAGAACAAAAAACCATTTGATGTCATAATGCCGCACCAAAAGATCATGCCCACCTACAAACCACTGCAGCCTCTACCAGGGCCCCTCTGTCACGCATTCTCCAATTCTTTATGTTGCTATTTTATTTTTTTTTGCCCTGAATTTTTAAAATTACACGAGGACAAGCATCGTTTCCTGTGTTTATTATTTGTACTTCTGACGTGGCCTACCCTCTGCCTATTTATCTACTTGGGTATTGAAGTTTTCCTTTTTTTTTTTTTTTAAAAAAAAAAAAATTCTTTATTTATTTTTAGAGAAAGAGGACAAGAAGGAGAAAGAGTGGTAGAGAAACATCAATGAGTGGTTGCCTCTCACGTGTCCCCCCACTGGGGACCTAGCCTGCAACCCAGGCATGTACCCTGACTGGGAATCAAACCAGCAACCCCTTGCTTCATAGGCCCGTGCTCAATCCACTGAGCTACACCAGCCAGGGCTGAAGTTTTCCTTATAAATCTGAATAAACAGACTCTACAACAGAACAACTTTCCTACTACCTGCCTAATTATTAAGGTAAACACTCCTTTAAAGGCTCTAAATTTATACATTCGAATCCATTGCTTCTTTCTTTTGTGACTTTATCTGGGCCACTAATTTTTCTGACAGCTAGTCCTGCTTTCAAAGCATTCTTTCTTAATCATTCTCCAGAGTCCACAACTTGGCTTAAGTTTCTTAGAAATTCCAAATTTCTAAGAAACACCATGCATAAAGTGTTGAAAAGTTTTTCGGTTTGACTTAACCACAACCAGTTCTGGAGTGTGAGAAAAATACAAGCAGGTATCCCAAGAGCACGCCTGGCCAAGGGTGTGTTACCTGAGGTAGGTGGGGGGCTCCGTGCTGATGGACACAGCCTTGTACTTCTCATCATTGCCGTCCAGAATCTCTTCCACCTCTGAGGCTTTTAACAGAGTCACGCTAGTGGCCAGAGTTGTGTATCCGTGATCTGTAACCAGAGACGCAGCTATCGTCACCCTGCCAGTGGGACAGTGAGCAACAGTAGCCAGTAGATGCAGCACATCCAGGTCCTCACATGCAGGAGGTGGGAGAAGCGGGTGTCTACCTTACTACTGCCGAATGCTGGCCTCTTCCAAAAGGGCAGTCTGGGCTGAGCACTTTATTTAGAGGTCCTACTGGGTAAAAACTCTCTGAGGATTTCCTTGGACTGATCTGTCCCAGGAGCACCGGCTCCAGGCACAGAGGAAGTGCACAGGGCAGCGGCAGCAGGGACAGCGCAGCACGGCCAACAGGGGCTCTCAGGAGAAGAGGAAGGCTCCAGAGTAACACCACCAGTGGGAAGAGGTCTGACACCACTGCCATCCACAACACAAAGCAAAGCAGAGAGATGGAATGAAAGATGAAAAGCACTTTTCTTTTAAAACAAGAGCGCAGAGAGTTGGAAAGAGCTGCTTCGCATGGGGCACAAACTGCTGGCCCTACGCCAGTCAACGCTTTCTGGGAGGCAGGACAGTTTCTAGGCAGCTTGACCCATAGCTCTTCCAGGGAACCTCGGTTAAGAGCTGCTACCTGTCTGCAGGTCCAGCCTGGCTTCCCTGGAGAAACAAACCAGGTACAGGGCAGGTGTCTCCAAAGCACAAGGTGGAAGAGTCACCGAGAACTTCCTTTGAGACTTGCAGAGGGGAAAGCAAAGCTGGGAACTCACTGTGTTAGTGACTAGTGCTACACTGGGGGGGTTGGAGGGAGGACAAAAAGGAGACTTTTTAAAGTGACTGAATGAAAATGTTATAGCAGCAGATAAAAAAAGAAGCTCCGGCTCCTGCATTAAAAGAATTACTACTTTGCCCACAAGACCATAGCAGCACCTACAGACACAATCAAAGAGGACGGGACAGACTACAAAGCACTCACTTGCACTGTCTCTCTCTCTGTCTCACTTTACATGCACACAAACACACACACACGCAGCTCTCTATAAGGCGCCAGTGCAGGGTAGGAAGCAGTTTGGCCATGTGCTAAACATTGTGCTGTGTCCAAACCCAAAAAGACCTTGAGTCTTTCACAAGAGATCAGAAAGCATCCTTTCGCCCTGCACAGAGCTGCCACGGCTGAAGCACACTAGTGTCTCTACTGTCACTAGTGTCTGGTGGCTGGCCTAGCAAGCCCCAGGCACACCTCAGGCACAACAAGCAGGGACATGCACATGAGCTCTAGCACACTGGCAGCCAGAATGAAGTGCTACGAAATGGATGTGCTCTGGGAAGCAAAGCAGTGAAAGCCCCAGAGGGGAGTGGGAGCAGAGGTCGCCACCCACCGCTCGGGCTACATATGGTGGGGTGCATATGAAGGGTGACTATGGCAACACGCCACGGCAGTGGCAGAGCATCACAGCATTCCTAAAACGTTTTGAGACCAACATGTCTTCACAGCACCCGCTCCTGCCCTAGCCCCAGCCCCAGCCCCATCCCCCTCACGCACCCTCTAGACCCATTAAAAATACCTGACGAAGGACCACCACTGGCTCCCTGGAGCCACTTTCTTGACTGAGCTGCATGGTGCCCGCCCCTAGGATGTTCCTGCCACACTAAGGTCAGAGGTGCAGTGAAGACACTCTGGAGTGAAAACGTTTTATCTTCATGACATAAGCGAGTGGTTTTGAAACAGGTTTACAAACCCTCGTGAAGACGCACCCTTAGTGTTAGGTTTTGTTTTTTTACCATGTGACGATGCAACTATTTTCTTCCTCTCTTCCACAGTGGCTAGTCGCCTCCAGAGTGAGGGATATCTCTTGTACAGAGAACCTCGGAACATACGGAGGTAGTTTCCCACCTATGAGTAAAGCAAGAAGGCTCATTATGAGGGTCACGTCTCTACGCAGAGGGGAAGGTCCTGGCGCAGAGGCCTCACTGGATCAAGTGATGGACAAACAGGCCCTGAGTTGGCCTTCAGGCACCAGGCAGCAATAAAAACACATTCTGCTGACATCAAGGGGTCAACAACAGTGCACATCTGGCCCACATCTGCCCCTCCAGGCAGGGCCGGGAACATCTACATTCTGACGACAAGACTGAAGCTTGTGAGGCAGGCCCCCACAGCTCACTGAGAAGCCCCAGGAGCTCATGGAGAAGCTTGCAATGTTTTTGATTTTGGTATAAGGTTCTCTGGCACTTGCCAGAAATGTAAGGCCTCTTTGACTTTCTTTTATCTTAAGAATAAGACTTTGATATTTTATGATGTAATAAACACCAAAAAGGTCTCTTAATTTTAGACAGATGCAGGATAATTTCCCCCATGACCCCTGTTGCTTTGTTTAGTAACAAAACTCAAACCAGGAATGCCAAAGGAATTTTCCAAAGAGTTTAAAAAGCACTTATCGGCAATCACCAGATTGCTATATAAATCATTACTTCCCCAAACAACGGCTTCGGTTGGCTTGTAACAGATATTCACAGTAAGACTTCTTTGAAGGGAAAAAAAAATCTAGTCCTAACGTTTTTACAAAGAAACCCCATTGTCCCACTGACTTTTCCAAAATGATCACTGCAATCACACGGCAGGAGACGGCCAGTCGACTGGGTGCCGGGTGCTGCCACCACCTGTGACGAGGAATCACATTCCCTTTTGGGGTCTCCTTACATCTGCCGAATGCTCAGCAACTCTGTACCCCACAAAGGACAACTTCTATTATTTTCCCATTTACCTGCCCATCATAGTGTATTTATTAAATAAATGTTTCTCCATTTTTCATGAATCAAAGACTTCTATGATCAACAACCAGAGCTGCTGAACGCGTGAGAGAAGGTGGTCATGGCACATCACTCATGCGCCACACAGTACACAGACTCCTGTGAGTCATTTGCCTGGAGTGTCATTACCATCCCAGGGTGAACATAGTTTCCATTAGGTTTTTGAAAAGACATTGATGATAATGCCCTCCACTGCCACCCTGCAGGTCCTACAGAGTCCCAGGACTCCTAGATCCTTCCTAAGTCCCTTTAGAACAGAGGAGGAGACCAGGGCTTGCCCTCTGGGTTTTTCCTGAATCAAACTTTGTCTGCTGGATCTGGTTTTCAAATGTAAAGTGAAAATATGGACTTGAGGATTTCCTAGAGTCCTCTCAGGTCTGTGACCATGACTTGGTAAACAGAGCTGCCTGTAGAGAGCAGAACAGTGACACACAGTCACTGCAACTGCAGATGCCATCCCAAGGACATTCCATGGACCTGGTATAGCCACGTGGGGTGTGATATTACGGCCGGCCCACTCTGTGAATACGGTGCTTGCTTTCCATGGGAAAGGAGTCTGGGGGCTATCCACCCAATGCTGTCACAGGAGCTACAGGATATCAATAGACAGCATCCAGATCTTGAACCTTCCCAGACCTCCAAGAGTCTAACGATTGTAAGCTAGGCCCTGGAAAGCCAATTGCCTTTCCCTTCTCTCACCTGGGTCCCTACTGACTGGATCTCAGGACAATGTTCTCACTCAAGGAGATTGATAGAGAAGACTGCAGTTAATTTTCTATAAACTAAAGTGTGTGATGGAGAAGATCTTAGAGGCCATCTAGTCTAAGCCTCTCATTACACACATGAGAAAAGTGACAGAGGCAGGGCAGAGCTGGGACCAGGCCTCCTGACGTTCTTCCCACCTCGCTGCAAGCTTCTTCTCAACTTGCTCCACCTAATAAATGAAAGCTTGCTTTTCAAAAGTACCAGCCACTCAGAGTCAAGGCCAAACTGATCTCTTTTCCTGCCCATTAGATCAGGTAAAGGTCTTTTTACACAACCTGCCCATTATCACATAATGAAACTCCTTAACTGCCTTTTGAATCCCGTACTTAACTAGCTCCATTTCCTCAGCACAGCTATCTTTGAAGAGCAGCATTTATGTGCTATTGTGAAAAATTTATTGCATCCTGCCTTTTGTTTTATAAAAAATCGTGGAAAATGGTTAAAGTTCTGATGCTGACATCGATGTTAAAATGTGATACGACTAAGACAAGCAGGAATCACAGGGTGTCCTGAAAGCCTCAATGTGACCATCACAAGGCTTAGTTTATATTCGAAGGTAAAGAAAAACAAAAACTGTAAAAACAGGAATGAAACGCCTGGCGTCTGATACCGAAAACTGCTACAAGGAGAGGCAACCCTCCGTACTGTGTAAGTAACTCCTTTTGCTCTCCAAGATCAGCACTTACCTCGTCACGTGAGACTCTACTGCTTGGTATATGCAGGTCTGAATTGCACAGCTATGCTTTAAAAAAAAAAAAAGGAATGTACACTATCTGGGGACTGCCTTTAGACCACAAAGGCCTAGTGCGAGGTAATCTGTAAAAACTTAATATACTTAGTACAATCTACCACGGAAGGACCAGTTGTGGGGTTTTCCTGAAGTCAGCAGTCCAGCTGATTCAACAAAGAGCTGTCACGCCTATTAAAAAGTAAAGATTTTTAGGATCATTCCCCTGTCATAATTCACTCAGTTCAAGATATTCAGTGTTAACTGCTTCTGAATTGCTGATGGATCCCGCTGAGGGACGGGGGGCCTTACCCACCCAAAGGAAATAGGATGTCCTTGTCCACCCTACAGCAAGCATCTCCTCCCAACCTCTTTCCTCCCTGGTAAACAAAGGTCAAACACCTCCCTGCCCACCTCAAAGGCAACAACAGACACGGTCATGAGCCCTCACTAAGCCCCTCTTCACGGCCTGCCATTGCAGGATTCGATTTAGCAATGGGGGAGGGGTGCACGTGAGATTTCCAACATCTCCGCCCCAGAGTCGCAGCGATAACCAAAACACCCAGTTTCTTTGCGTCTGCCTGGGGTTGCAGCAACTCAGCACAAAACCAGCAGCGCCCCCGCCCCCGGAGTCCTAGCCTTGGCAGTAGGGTGTGTCCCCGATCACCTCGAAACGGGAAGGTAAACCCAGGATCTCTGAGATACCAGAACCCGGGCCCAGGAGGCCCCGCCCGCGACGCCCCGCCCCCGCGACGTCCAGGCCCCCGCCGCGCGTGCTCCCGCGCCCGCCCGCCGCGATGAACGGAGATGCGCGTTCCCGGCGCGCAGACCCGCCCTGAGGCTCTGGCGAGGCCGTAGCCTGGAAGGGCGAGGACGCGCTGCGCGGTACCTCAGAGCCGATCATGTAGAACTCGCCGTCGTCCTCCAGCTGAAACTTGACGGGTTTCTGCCCGAAGGTCTTGCTCAGCGCCATCATCATCATTGCGGCGGTGGAGGCGAGCACCAAAGGCCAGAATGCGAAAGATCGGGAGGGCTGAAGCAGGGCTGGGCAGCACCGAGAGTAGGGGAACCGAAGCCGGAAAGCGAAGGGCGGGCGAGGCCAGGCCGGGCGCTCGCGCCACCGCCGCCGGGCACCTCAGTTGCTGCTGCTGTCGACGACCAGGCCGCTCTCAGTGCGCATGCGCGGACTTTGACGCTGCCGCGCGCGCTGCCGCCGCCCAAACAAAAGGTTGGAGCGCGTCCCCGCGGGTCTCTTAAAGGAACCTACACCCGTTTGTCCTACAAGCTGCCTCCCAGATCAAGGTCCCGAGGAAAATTCTCGCAGGTGTAAATCGCAACTGAGGCCTTGGCTCAGGCGGTGGCTTTCCCAATCTCACAGCTGAGTCTGGAACTCTACCCAGTGGAGGAGAAAGGAGGTGAGGCCTGAAGGCTGAGGCCGGAAGTACCTGTGCCTCAATTTCCCCACCCGGAAAACAGTGCAGCTGAGCAGATAAGAAGGCTCCTAGGAAACACATATCCCGGTTCCCGACCCACAGCTGTTTCTGTGGCTGTGGGAATGGGCAGAATGACAACACTAAGTGGTGCTGGTGTGGGCAGAGGCTCCTGAACTTGGCAGGATTCCAAGGCCCAGGTGGTATTTGGTTTGACTGGTACATCAGATGAGTGTTGGAGGAGAGGGAACCCTCTCCATTCCTTTCTTAACTTTGTGCTTTGTGCCTAACGACAAGCTGATCCCTTCAGTGAAACTAGACAGCCCTGCCCTGCACACTTAAAGCTGGGTTTGGGGACTGACGTGAATGAAAGCATCAAAGCCTCCATGTATCCAGTTGAACAATGCAGTATGTCAACAACAGCCCCCTGCTGACAATTTCTCATGGTTCAGTCTAACAAAAATTGCAGCTATGATAGATGTTACTATGGAGGAGTTACATGTGGGGCCAGGTGGCCAGCACAGAGGCACTGAAAAGTTAGGAGGGCTTGGCTGTGTCCTGACAATGGTGGATAGGTGCTGGGGTGTGGTAAGATCAGACAAAGTGACCACAGCTTGGCGAAGGATGATCTGAAGGGCACTGGGGGAGCAGGAAACAAATTACAAAGCCACTACAGGTGTCCAGTGAGACAATGTGGAGGAATGGAGCAAGAAGCACCCTAGACATTGCACCTAGTCCCATAGACCATAGGCTTGAGGTGAGGGGGCTGCCACCCTGGCTCCCAGGACACAGCAGTTCCCAACCCAGGCCTACCACCTCCCTGTTCCACCTCTTTCCCCATCCTGGCCTCCCAGTCAGAGAAACCCCAGTCAGGCAGGTAGAAAATGACCATAAACACAGTTAGTGTTTAATGACAGTCCTCAGTAAAAAAAAAAAAAAAGAAAAGAAAGGCTTTGTACACCATTTACACGGCTTTGGAGGGTCTCAGTGCTAGGATGAGGGGGTGAGGGAGATCCGGCATATGACAGGATTGAGGTATGTTGGGGCCTCCAGGGCCCTGGGTCTTCAGCTAGAAGCACCCCCCTTCCCGCTGACTCTGGACCTTCTGGCCTGGATCTTGGGGGACATCTCCAGGATCACCAACTGGAAGGCAGCCAGTTCCAAGCATCTCCCCAGAACTGACTTCTCAGGAAAAGGCAGAAGGCCACGGGGCCCCAGGATCCATTTGTCAGCACCCTGCAGGAACCTCACAGCAGGGACAGCGCGAGGGCTCCAGCTCCCCTTAACCTGCTGAGGTCCTTTCCTGAGGGACAGGCATAGAGAGCGAGGACAGCCAGGTTTGACTGTTACCTGCACAGGCAGGGTAGAGCAGGCCCCAGACGACCCTCACACTTAATACCAAAGCCTCCCTGCTGAGTCTGAGACAGTTGCTGGCAGGCAACCACGACCTGCGTGGCCTTCCCTGCAGTTGTCATGGTGGCAGGACCCCCCTCGCAGCTCCCCTGAGGAGACATAGGTTCTGTCCCATGCCTGCTGCCCACAGCCACAAAGATGGCCACAGGTCTCCAGGTGATGTCGGTGGCCTGCCACGGCTCAGGGGCCCTGAGGGCACCCAAGCCATGGCTAACGGAAAGTGTTGGCAGGTTCTGTACAGCCAAAGAAGTCGGGGCCCACAAGACGGGGAAAGCCCTCCAGGGCCTTCACCTTCACAGGATCAAACTTCCAGTAGAGGCGGCCGCGCAGGAAATAGGCGTAACCTGAGGAGAGAGGAGAGTCAGGCCTGGGCAAGTGGACACGGCGCCTCACACCTGCTGTCAGGCTGTGCCAGGGGACAGGCCCGGGGGTGGGGGATCCAGGTTGGGGGGCCTTGGCCACTGCTGAGTTCCTTGAAACCTGAAGGCCCTCCAGAACCTCCTTTCTCTTGGGGGAGCCCTTTAGCCTGCTGAGAGTCTGGTCTGGGCTACCAGCCAGCCTGGTAGGTGCTGAGTGCCTCAGAGGCCCAATTCCTACCTGTCAGGAAAGCAAGTCCCTCTCCCCACACTGGCCCTCCCTCCACATCACTCTATTCCTGCACCCACCAGACACATACACCTGGGCATCTTGAGTCACATGGGTGATACAGGCAACCTAGAGCCCCAGAGCCCAAAGCTACCACCATAGAACAGCTCTCCCAAAAGGTCCTGCTGTGGGAGAGCATAGAAGCGGGGGGGGGGGTGCATGAGAGAGAGCACTGGACTGTAAGTCCCAATCTAGTCCTTGGAGATTACAGGAGGCCAAGCGGTGCAATGGTTAGGAGCAGGGACTACCTGGGTGGTAGTCCTAGCTGCCCACTGTCCACCTGGGTGGCCTCAGTTAGGGAACCTCATCACCTGAACCTCTGTTTGCTCTTCTGGAAACTGGGTTCATAACAGGTACTACACCTGAGAATTGCACAAGACACTTAGAGAACTCAGGTGTCAGTCCTCGGTGTGTAGTGGTTGTGAGTACCAGCCGTGACTAAGGGACCGGGGAAGTCCTGGCACCCCTCTGGCCCTTGGTCTAACTGTAACACGGGGGTGCAGCACTGCCCTGGTGCGGGATGGTGCTGGACAAAGCATCTGCGATGCAAAGCTGATGCTCAGCCACCATATGGTGGGAGATGCAACTCTACACCACTTCTACCAGCCACCCCGTCCCCAACACACCATCGGCATCCTGGAAGGCGGCGTCGATCTCAGAGGGCACTCCTCGCCAGTCAGTGGCCCGGCGGGGCACTGGGCTGTCCACACGGCGGGTGCTGGGGTAGAAGCGCCAGTAGTCTCCACCTCGGAAGAAGTAGATCTTGTTCTTCTCAGGGCCCCAGACCAAGGCTGCATGGACTGGGGACCCCAGCAGGCCCAGGTCGGAGAGGGGTGCAGGTCCTAGAACTGGCTTCTCACCATCGTACACCCAGTACTGAGCCCCTGCAGAGAGGGGAGGCTGCAATGGAGCTGCACGACTGCCACACTCAGCCATCGTGGACCTGCCCAGCTGCCACACTGCCACTGACTTTCCTAGCCTATTTCACTGTCCTGCTTGGTATCCCCAGTCCAGGGGAAGTTGGAGCCAGCAGGAGTAAGCTGGGGTGGTGCAGGCTCTGAGACGTGTCATGTGGGAAAGGTTATTCTAAGAGGCAGACAGGCGCCTGGGCCCCGGCTCCTTCCCTTGGCATTTGGCTGTTCTTAACTGGCCCTTAACTTTGTCTCAGCAGGTCCTGGCTAGACCTTTTGTTTATGAAGTCCCTGCTACCTGGAATGTTCTAGGCTCTCTTCTCTGCCGGTTGAAAGTTAATAGCACAGGCTCTAGGGTCGATAAACCTAGATCAAATCCCTGCTCTGCCTTTTCCAAGCTGTGCCCTCTTATGAGTCATTTCTTCCCCTTGAGCTGGAGGCCAAAGTGGGGCCCACTGTACAGTGCCTTCCATTCTATTCCCACCTGGAGAGCCTCCGCCTCTGGGGGTCTCCGGAGCTGTGCCCAGAGGAGTGAGTCTTGTTCTCTCCTGGCCCTGAGGATTCAGGACGCCTCCTACATGCCCATCATATTTGTCTGTCTGTCCCTACCCTTGGCCATGACATTCTTGGCACCTGGAAATCTGAGCGTGACCCCCCAACTCCCACTCACCCTGAAAGAACCAGATGTGGCCCTGGGCATCCTCAAAGGCTGCATCCACAGGGCTGGGCAATCCTTGCCAGTGGCGAGAGGCCTGAGCAGGGTAGCCAGGCTGCAGCTGGCCCCCACGAAGCCGCCACACAAAGCCCGCCTTGAAGAAGAAGAGCTCGCCACGGATGGTGGATACTGCGTCAAAGGAGACCTTGCAAGCATCTGGTGTGGCTTCCGGCTGAGGTGGGGAGGAAGGGGGGCCAGAAAAGAGCCCACATTGGAGCCATAGAAGCCAGTGAGGTTGAGGAAGCTGGGGCAGGGCCGCCCCTCCTGTCTTCCCACCTTCCTGCGCCTCACCTCCAGTGGTGCGATCTCGTTGGTGTCCACCCTAGCCTGGGGGCTCAAGGCTGGGGGCCTGGAGGTGGGGGCTGGCTGGGGCCGGCCATACAGGTGCTGGATGCCCCTGCGGTCATCTGGGCTGAGGCTCAGCGGGTAGCGGAAGGTGTAGAAAGGGGACATGAGGGCCTTAGCAGCCGTCGTGTGCTGTAACCCAAGCACATGTCCAAATTCGTGGGCTGCCACCTGCAGGAGGTCTGTGCCTGGAAAAGGGAAATAGTCCAGCAATCCCCGAGCCTCCTTCAGCAAGATACCCAAGCTCCAGACCCCAGCTCAGGGACCTTGGCAAGTTCCCATTCTCTATGATCTTCAGTTGCCCCATCTGGAAAATAGGTCCCCAGCCCATACCCTGGTTGTCCCCAATAGTCCAGGTCTCATCATAGTCGAAGTGGACATCCCCTTCTCGGTGGGTCTTCGGGAAGAAGGCATGAGCCAGGATGCCCCCAGGTCCATCAAATGGCAGGTTGTCCCCATGCCAGTACCTGTGGGTAGGGGGGTGAAGGGTCAGCAGCTATTGACAGCTGGGGCTGTTCCCAGAGGGCTTCCAGGCCACCGGTTCACCTGGTGAAGTCGATCATGATGTCGGCGTGGCCCTCGTGCACCTCAGTAAAGGTGAGTGGTGTCACATCACTCCACACCTGGAGGGCCTCTGCTACTGCCTGCCGCACCTGCTCGCGCACCAGCTGCCATGGAAACCGAAGGATCCTGCAGGGAGAAGCAGGGGCCTGGACTTTACTCAGTGCAGGGGCAGCCTCTGATGTCTATGTGGCCAGGAGTTACCCCTGGGTGCTCTGTGGGGGTGCATGCATGCAGGGCACAGACCAGACGAGCCTCAGGTGTGATGCGCTGATCACTCTGCCACATGGGCACATTTTTGTGTGATTTTATGTCCTCGGGTGCACGCAGGTGTCTGCATCAGTGGCAAGAACACAGGACCAGGAGCCCAAGACCTACCTTAAAGACCAGACTATACTGCTCACTGCAGGGAGACCGTGACCCTTTAACCTGCCCGTCAGTTCCCATCCCACCCAGGACATTTCTGGGGCCCCCCGCAGTCTCAACTCCAATGCTATGTGAGCCTATGTCACATGTAACCTGCTACATGATCTTCTTCCCAAGCCAATTCCCCGCCTGCACAATGTGTGAGTTTCAGCTTTGCCTCACTCTCAGGGACCTCAGGTCATGGATCATGGATCCGAACAACGTCAGGATCAATGCCTAGCTCCTCATGGTTGTGGCTGCCTCATTCACCATGGACTCCCAGGGCCTGGGCCTTAGTAGGTCCCCAGAGAGGCTGCCTGTGTGACAGAAAGCTGTGCCCCGGCATGTCTATGGGGTAACCAGGTGTAGGCCGACAGAGGCACTGTCCCTCTGACATGGGAGGGTAGGGCAGTGTCTGTGGGTGCACACAAGTTGAGGTTCAGTAGCGTTGGCCCAGAGATGGCTCAGGGGTCAGTGGACACCAGGTCTGTTAATTGCAGAGATCTCGCCCTGCCGTGTGTTTTGAGAAGCAGGTGTGAAGGTGGCTGGTGCACACATGGACAAACAGCTCTGGAGTCTGCTCATGGCCGAGGGCCCTACCTGTAGGTGAGATCGGTCTTCTCCCAGTGCCCACCAGAGAGCACGAACCGCTTTTGTCGGTTGCGGGCACTCAGCCCATCGGGTGGGTCAGGTACGCCGCAGCGGGGAGGTCTGGGGCCCCCCACAGGCCGAGGAGCCTCCTGTGCAGCAGGGGCAGGTGCCCGGCTGCGCGGAGGAGCTTCATGCCAGGGCTGTGGCCCCCTCCTCAGCAGGCGGTGGCGGTGGGTGACCTGGGCAAGAGAGAGGATGGGAGGCCCAGTCAGGCCGCTGGTCCTCAGGGACCATGGTTAGAGGTCCAGGCTGTCAGCACACGCATGCTCACCCCCCACCCACTGGGTTGCCGGGCAAGCTGAGGGCAAGGGGAGGCATGTGCACTGTCACACTGCAGGCCCTTTGGCGTGAGCTGACCGGTTTCCCGATGGCTTGCTCCAAGGCCTCCTACTGCCTGTCGCTGCCTCCTGGAAGGGTCCAGGGCTGCCTGTCACCTACTCTGGCCATCTGGGCTAGGGGGGTCTGAGTGGGGGAACACAGACTGTACTCTCCACACACAGCCAGGAATGGACTCCACCTGGCTGCCGAGGATAGGCCAGGCCGCGCCTCCTGTTTCCCGCACAGCCCCCGACCCGCAGCAAATGCTTTCCACCTCCCCGCCTTCCCAAGTCCCCTCCCTCCCTCTTCCAGCTCCCAAGTCACATAAGCTACTTCTGCCCAGGACACCCACCTTGGACACAGAGGGACTGCAGTGCTGCCTCAATTTGCTTATCTGACAAATGGGGATAATACCTGCCCATAGTGTTGACCTGAGGATGAGCCAAGGCGATGCATTTAAAGCGCTTAGCCTGGGGCCGGGTACCCAGTAAGGGCACCTGATACTGAGGTCTGATTTCTGGGGGCAGTTTTGCTCACACCTCACCCCCAAGGGCTGGGCACACGGCAGAGCTAGATGTGGTCTGCCTGCCCCCTCTGTGCCTGAGTGTGTGTGTGTGTGTGTGTGTGTGTGTGTGTGTGTGTGTAAGGGAGCAGACAGTTACCAGCGCCCAGCCCCACCCCCCTGCCCTGCCAGAGCCCCCAGATGATTCTGACCTGGAGCTCCCACCCTCCAAAAGTCCCAGGGCAGAGGTCACAATTCTAGTGCATGGAAAAAGCAGGAGCCCAAGAGGTTAGGAGACCCTGCAGAGTCATCCAGCAAGGGCATGGCAGGGCCAGCTGAAGACTCTGATGACCCAGGCCATGGCGAAGGCCCCGCTTTCGGACACCATGTGAAGCCAGAGGAGAGGCACAGAGAAGTGCTGTTTGCTGAGATACTCTGTGTCTGCCTTCCCACAGCCATATTTGGGGTGAGAGCCAGGCCACCCAGGCCCCGCCCTCAGCCTGGCTTCAGCCTCAGCCTCAGCCTCTGGCAGCTCTCCCAAGCCCCAGGTCTCTGGTCAGTGTCCCAGCTCCCGTCGCCCAAGCTCTGGATTATGGAGCCACTAAGAACTCAACCCCCCAGAGCCACCCCGACTCAGCCCCCAAGAATACCCCACTATGAAGTGGTCTTCTGAGAACCTGGAGATTCTGAACCTTAAGGGGGCTATGGAGCTACTTGGGGTGTGGGGCCCTGAATCAGTTTTTCCTCAGTTTGAGCTTCTTATCGAATGGTTGGTTATCTGGCAGAGCCCTGCCTTGCTTGGTTGTGGATTCCAGCTGATGCTGGGCTTACTGCTATTATTAAGTACTTGTCACAGTTGCAGTCCACCCGTATCTAGGCCAGGACCCTGCCAAAAGCTCCATGCACATCCGCTTAGCCCCTAATGGGACCTCTCCCCACCTCCACCTGCATCACGCCCTTTCTCAGATGAGGAAGTGGAGTCCAGAGAAGTTAGAGCCATTTGCTCATGCAACAGCTGGCAGGTGGCAGGCTCTCTGTGCTCACAGCCCATCCTGTCTGCTACCTCTGCTCTGCTTTTTGGGCTGGAGTCACCCTTCTCCTGGAGGAGGGACCCAGGTTGCCTCACCTTGGTGAAGCAGAGAAGGAATGGGAAGTGATTAAGCATTGCTACTTCCCAGGCACTTCACAGATGGGCTCATAGAACATCGCCTCTCCTCCCACAAGGTGGGGATGGGATGATGTATATGCCAGACCTCACATTGAGGATATGGACCCCAGGTCTGTGTGAGAGTCTAGTCTGCCCCTCCACCTCCCCACAATGCCCCTCCTGACCTCCAGGAGATAGTTTTCTTCCCCGAGCCTGGCAGGGGTACAAGGACCCTCCCCGGGAAAGGCAGGGCCATTTGGTGCCCTGGGAGATCCAAACAACCCAGAGCACAGCTCGCCAGCTCTGTGTATGCCCATGGGTAGAAATCTCCCCTCTCCTCTGCCCCCAGTGAGGCCCAGAGCAGCCAGGCGTGGATGGAGGGTGGCCAATGGGCACATACACCGTCCCTTCCTCTCCTTCCCCCACAAGGCACCTCCAGAGCCCTGGATCAGGGCTCTCTCAGCGCAGCAGAAAGAGCTACAGACAGATTCAAAAGGCCCAGTTCTATGCCATGCACCCTTGGACAGGGGACCTTGGGCAAGTTACTATTCTCTCTTAGCCTTGGTTTCCCCACCCATCAAATGGAGATAGTGCCATGGCAAAGGGCTAAATGCCCTCCTTCTGTGATGCCTGCTGCAGCATCTGGCACAGAGCCTGTTCCCTGGCCCCGCTCCTTGCCCCTGTGAGCCTGCCCATCCCACACCTGGGAATCTAGAGCTCCCACCACCCACCAGTCATCCAGCTCCCCAAATGTCTCTAGACTTCAAACTGTAAACCAGGAGTTGCAGCCAGAAGGTGGCTTGCAAAGCCAGGAAAGAAGAGTGACTTATGCAAGCTCTCCTGCAAGCAAATGCCTCTTATACCCTGTTTGTTTCACGTTCATTAGTCTTGGAGAGAGAGTGAGCGAAGGCAATAGGATGGAGGTCTCCAGCCAGCGGGATCTTTTAAGGGAAGCTCATCATTTAGTGGCTCTTGGCTCCCGTTTCCGCATGATTGGGACGGGACACATGCTCCCTGCCCCACTGACCTTCCACACTTCATCTTTCTGAGTACTTTCTGGCCTGGGGCCAGATGGCCTAGCTGCAAGGCCTGGCACAGGCAGCTTGCTGATTCCTAAAATGGGTGCACTGGTCCTCGCAAGGCTGCCAGAATTCAGTGAGGTGGGTGGTGGGTGGTGTGGGCACAGACCACACCTGACCTCATCGACATCCATGGGGGTCAGGGGGCAGGCATTTCCCAGAGCCCACAAAGGTCAAGAATTTTACCCAGGGTCATACAGCAAGTGGGGCAAGAACTGGTCCTAGGCCCAGGGCTCATGCTTCCCCATCCAGAGCTCTCTTTGCACCCCCTCAGCTCTCGGCCTGTCTCCAAAACCCACGCTGCTGAGAAGTGTCTCTTCTGCTGGTGCACTCCCTCCTCCTGGGCCAGTATCCCTCCCTTGGCCAGCCCTGTGTGGTAGCTGTCCACTCGCCCCGTCCTCCTCTGGCAGGCACCAAACCACAGCCTCAAACATCCTCGAGGAATTTCTCTGCTGACTCAATCTCTTGGCTGAGCTAGAGGCTCAAGGTCAGCCTCTGGGACAACTTCCAATCAAGAAAATGGAGGTTTCTGATAGAGGGGAGGTAAAGGAGGACCGCAGACTAGGGGACTGCTGGGTTAAGCCAGACTAGCTGTACCCCTCTCTGGGCCTCAGTTTGCTGTTGGTCTAATAGAGATAATTAATCATGGCTATGCCTTCTGCTGTCAGCAGGAGGTAACCCTGACAGGAGGGTACTTTGTTAGGTTGTACAGAAGACAGGAGAACATCATCGCATCATTCTATTTAGCATCAAGCCCCTTTGAGGCTCAGAGAGACCAAGCAACTTGGCCAAGCACACAGCCCATCAGCAGGCAAATCCATCTTCTCCTGACGTTGTGACCAAATCTTTCCCTTCCCTCCCCTCCCCTGTCGGTCCCAGGGGCTGCAGGGCTTTCAACAACCCTGAAAGCTGCTGAACTGGGATAGATAAATATTTACAGAGCTTTCCTGACCCTGCCAACAGCAGCCTGCGGATAAACACATCTGAGGCGACCCCAGATGCTCTCTGCATATCTGCACAGTGTCAGGCAGCATCCCAGCTCAGACTCAGCCCCACCTGACTCCCCACAAGCATCAGAGTGGCAGCTACAGGTGACAGAATGTCTCCAGTGTGCCTGGCTGTACCTCTCCTCGAATTACCTCATTTAATTCTCAATGCCCAGCAGTGGGCACTGTTGTCTCCCACCAACTCCTGACAAGACTGAGGGGGTGAGACTCTCTAAAGGCGCAAGAAGGGTCACCTAGGGCCACATGATTCAAACCCAGTCACTCCCATCCCCAAACCAGAGGGTTCAACTGCTACCCAAGGTGGTATCCGACTGTCCCAAAATCTAGGGGACCGGAAGGGGCTGAGGAAGAGGACAGGCTTCCACACTGAGGTGCCTCCCCCATCCTATTTCTTCCTGCTCCCATAGCCAGCAAGGCCAAGGCTGGCCAGGGCAGCCCCTCTGACCCGAGACAGAGGGGCCCAGCCTGGTCAGACCTCCCTCCTTACCACAACAGTCCCACACTCTTGCCTATCATACCCCACAATGATCTCATCCCTTCCTAAGCTGTCTGATACCTTAGCTGCCTGTAGGGATGGGGTGGGCCCCCAGGGGCCCGTGGGTCTGCACTTACCAAGCTTCTGACTCCATGCCCTGCCTGGTCACCCCTGTGACTGGTTCCTCGAAACCCCAGCTCAAGGGGAGTGTGCAGCTTTCTGGGCACACACAGACTATCACACACAGGCTGTCAGACACACCCCATGACTGGTCCTCTTCTCGCTCTGCTGCTCTCTCACGTGGACTCTGTTCTTCCCGTGGATCGCGCCTTCTTCTTCTCCCTTCCCTTGCTCTCCCACCCCCTTGCTCTCTGAGGTTCACAACTCTACACCCTTGGCTCCCCTTCTTCTTACTTTCTCAGTCTCTCTCTCTCACACACACAAACACACACGCACGTGTGCACACACTCATGCTGTCCTGGCTCCAAGCCTCCCAAACTTGCCACCTACAAGTGCCGAGGCGGCGGCACCACCTCCAGGCTCAGACGCCACCTCCCCCAGAGCACCTGATGACCTCCCCAGCTCTTCCCTAATCCTCCAGCCCACTGCGCAGTTGGAGGTGTGATCACCAAGGCCATACTCCTGGAGGCTGACACCAGCCTGAGACCAGCTCTGCTTTGTCCCTACAATAGAGGGCTCCGTAACCCTCTATTTATTGCAGGAGTACCTGTAACCATTCCCTCTGGCACTTTCCCCAGCACACTCTAGCATCTGTGGCTGGGGCACGGAGGAGCGGGTCCCCACGCTGCCAGGGGGCGTGTGTCTAGCGCCCAGCTGCGTCTCACCAGACTGGGCGATCCCTATGCAGGCTTCACTTGCACACCTCCAGGGAGGGGAAGCTCACTATCTACCACGCCCACAGGGATCCAGAAGGCGTTTTGGGTAACGGGCAGCACCAGGACACCCCAACGCCTCCCTGGGTCCAGCTCCACCTCTGGGCCCAGCCCGCGTGCCCAGCGACCCCTGAGAGAGGAGCGGCCGACCAGCGATGGGCACCTACCGGCGGCCGCGGGGCCCGGGCCAGCAGCGGCGGCGGCAAGGACAGCAGCAGCAGCAGCAGCAGCAACGAGTACAGGAGGACGCGCAGAGCCGCGCCGCGGAGCCCACTGGCCCGAGCCATCCGCCCCAGGGCTGCCCGGCCTGCTGGGCCGCGCCGGCACACCGCCCCTTATAGCCTCCGGCCCGCCCCCGGCCCGCCCCAGCCCCGCCCCTAGCGCCTTTTGTTCTAAACTCTCCCCGCCGCAACTGTAGCTGCCAGGATGGGGGAGGTGGACAAGGGAGCCGCTAGAGGGTTTAGGGGCCTGGGGCCCTGAGACCCGTCCTAACTACGGGCGAGCTGAGGTTTGGCGCTGAGTGACCCTGGCCAGCTGGTACTGCTCCGAGCCTCAGTTTTCCAAATGTGCAGAGGGTTTCACTCCTCCTGGTCCTTACCCTCAACTTTGGAAGGGGCATCCCTAGCTGGTCACCCTGGTGGCCTGACCTCTGACATCCTGCGAGCCTATGACAGGTGGTTGTACCCATGAACAAGTTTCTTTACTTCTCAGAACCTTGCTGATCCATTTTGAAGGCTGCACTGTATTCCCTGTGATAAAAGGGGTATTAAAATGTGTCCCAGGGAAACTGAGCCAAAGGGGGGCTACTGGCCTCCCCCTCCTCCCACCCCAACTTGGAACAGAACTGTGACAATATATGGATGGGGAGACTCAAACCCCAGGAGGGAGCGACCAGAACAGGCTTCTTCTCCACCCGTACCAGGGGGCAATGGAGTGTGATGAGCTGGAGGGAGGGTTTGTCAGAGGGTACGGGGTCTCTGGGGGCCCAGGCTATCCCTTCATCAGGGACTAACAGGCTCCCCAAGCTTCCCGAGACCTAAAGGAGGTGGTTTCCGAGTGCTGGAAGGGGTCCTCCAGTCTCACACTCCCTGTGATGACTGGGTGCCTTATCACCTCCCCAGGCAATCTGCTCTGTCATGGCAACACTGCTGAGCCAAAAAGCAGACAGTGGCTCTTGTCTTGGTGGGCAGGGTCCTGAGTGCTACTAGATGAGGCCGTGGACACCCAGCCTAGGCCTGGGCTGGGGGAAAAGAAAGGACAATGGGCTGAGTCAACCCTCCCTCCCGCCCCAGCCGCCCCAGCCGGGAGAGCTTTCACGGCTTCTCCAGGAAGGCTCCACAGAGACACCTAGAGGGCGACGAGATGGCTGACTGCTGAGATTTTCCCTACCTAAATCTTGTTAGCAATTTTTTCTCTAAAGTGACTCACTTTTAAAAGTTGAAATACTTACTTCAGCCTCATTCTTGGCAATATTGGTCAAGAAATCATGGACTTGATGAGCTAATTATATGTTTTTCTGATATACAGGAAAATACATAATGATTTCAATGAAAATGTTTATTAAGTGGTCTTGAGTACCTGCCTCCAGGGCTGTATGGATGAATTATGGAGAACCTGCAGTTCACCGATCATGGGAGCTGAAGTAACAGCCCCCCGCAGTGCAGACCCAGGGTGGCAGGCCATGATTACACACTAACCAAGCATTCAGCAAGGTCAGCTGGTCACTGAGGGCTTCCTGTAGGACGAGGACCCTGAAGAGCCTAGAAGGATAGGCGAACCTGGCAAATGAGAACAGGTGGACAGGGACTATAAAGGAATAGAGGTTGGACCAGGCATGTCTGTGAGGAGAAAATGCCCCACTCTCGACATGCGTACTTCACCTTGAAGTGTGTGATAATCCCCACCTGAGAGAGGAGAAAACTGAGGCCCAGGCCCCCAGGCAGGGGTCAACGGAGGACCCTCCTTCACAGGCAGGGTGAGAGGTAATAACACGGTAGTGCACGTGTGGCCTGGAAATGCCTTGCACACACATAACTGAGTATACATTACACCCCCCCATGCCTTTGCTATGGGTGATTTCATCTTCCCCGTGATTCTTGTGCAACCAGGCTTCAGTTTCCCCTCCCATGACACAAGGAAGAGTGATAGGAGTGTGAAGTAAAGAAGTCAGCTCCCCATTCGAGTAATAATATGACCACTTCGAAGTCACTCAGAAAAGACCATAAAACCTGGAGCTCCTGAAGTGCTGGGAAGCATCCTAAATCTGCACCTCCGCCCTACTCTCGGCCCGAAACCAAGGTGGTAAAATGGAGAGGTCACAGGATTCCAACGTGTACAAGCGTCTCTAGGCACTCGGGTCACATACTTCAGGATGGGCACGCTGCTTGAATGTCGTGTAAACTCTGCCGGTGTGTGGCGCTGCATTCGCGGGGCAGAGGCGTCAGGCCGGGCGGAGGGCCACGAGGGGGGCGCCTCATCGCACCCGGGTGCTGCGCCAGGCTGCCGGAGCTTGCAGTGCACTTTTCCAGAAAGGAGTGGAAGAGGGGTTCCGGACGCCCCCTGGCGGGAATTCTGGAGACCGGTCCCGCAGGGCCTTCCCCAGGGCACCTCATCTCCGTTCTAGTTCCCTCTCCCCGTCCTGCTGTCCCCACTCGCGCGACACTGACACCACTCAGTAGTCCGCATACCCTGTCTCATAGGAAAGGAAGGAACACAGCGCGGCCTGGCGCCTCGTGCCCCCTCCCAGGCGGGCATCGGCCGGTTGCCTCCCGGTCTCCTCTGCCCTGGAGCACCGGACAACACTCTCTGAGCTCCGTGCTGGTCTTTGAAGGCACACGCCGGTCGTCCTTGCGTAAACTCTCCGTCCCCTGCGACAGCGGGTCATATCCCCAGGATCCACACTACGCAGGCCAAGCGCAGGAAGGGCACAGTCACATTTCCAGCTGCAAAGGTCGCTGAGACAAGAGGACGATGGAAGAGTACGCCCGGCGGACCCGCGGGAGTGAAGTGCCGCAGCAGAGCCCAACCTCCCCGGGGGCGTGTCCCGGAGGCTCCGCCCCTTGCGCCGGCTTGTGACAAAGTGTGCCACCTCTGTCCTGGAGACACAATCTCCGCCACCGTTTCGGTCTCTGACTCAGCTCAACCGAGCCCCACCGCCGCGACCATGCCCCGGGGGAGCCGTAGCGTGTCCGCCCGGCCAGCCAGGTGTGAGCGGGACAGGGGACCCCTGGGGAGAGGGCTCGGGATCTGCGGGTACTCCCTCAAGGACGTAATAATGTGACCTTGGCGACTACCGCGCCATCTTAGCGGGGGGGGGGGGTATGGGGGAGGAGAGGGAAATATCACAACCACGTGTCTGAGACTGGTCGCCCACACGACCGGAGGATGAAAGGGGGCATTTCCAGGGGCTGCCGGCACCTCGGGCCTCTGGCCTGGGGTCCGGCCAGGATTAACCCTGCGACTTCCCACCCCGCAGCCGCACTGCCGCACCTTCTGCCCACCCTCCCGCTCACCCGCCGCCCTCCGCTGCCGCGCCGGCCCCCGCTCCGTCGGGGCAGCCGGGCCTGATGGCGCAGATGGCGTCCACGGCCGCTGGGGTAGCCGTGGGCTCTGCGGTGGGACACGTCGTGGGTAGCGCCCTGACTGGAGCCTTCAGCGGGGGAAGCTCAGAGCCCGCCCAGCCTGCCGCTCAGCAGGTGAGCAACAGACTCCAGGGAAACCGAGGCCCACTTCTCTGAAGGCCACGGAGCAGGGAGTACAGCTGGCAGGCTCTCCCAGACCCTTCCCTGAGGCCAAGGTCCCTAGACTCTCAGGAACAGATGCCAACCAGCCCTTTAGAGATGGGGCAGCCCAGGCCCTTAGGGCTCAGACACTAGCCAGAGGTCACCTAACCCTAGTAGAGGGGAGGGGTGTTGAAGCTCTTGTCTCCCCTCTCCCTACTGTAGTCCCTGGGCCCAAGGGCAAAGGGTAGCTGGTGACTGGCCTCTCCTCCACTGGGCGCCCCACCAGTCCTGAGCCAAAGCAGATTTAGAGCAGGGTCAAGGGTGATGAGGATCAATGTGGCTGAACCAGGAAGTCCCTAGAACTTGTGGGGGAGGGGCTCGTATTCCAAGAGTACCAGCAGAGCACTCACTGGGCTTTTCTAGAGTCTTCTCCCACCTGCCCAAGACGCCCAATAGGAGGCAGCAGGGAGATGCTGTCTGTCGTCTGCTGGGTGGCGTTAAGAGGGCTGTGGGCTCACACTGTGTAACACATGGAGCTGAGTCTGCTGGTCCTGGGTCACTCAGCCTGCCTGGGACCCTTGGGGCCCCTGGGCTGGGGTGGTGGGAGGGGCAGGTGGCTCCCCCAGTTTGAGTTGACTTTGCTGCCTCCTGCGCCACCCCAGGCCCCGGCCCGCGCTGCCCCCCAGCCTCTGCAACTGGGGCCCTGCGCCTACGAGATCAAGCAGTTCCTGGACTGCTCCACCACTCAGAGTGACCTGACCCTGTGCGAGGGCTTCAGCGAGGCCCTGAAGCAATGCAAATACAACCACGGTGAGCATGTTGCCCTCCGACCCAGGCAGGGGCTGGGAGGGGCAGCCCCTCTTCCTATACCTGTGGGCTGACCACCAGCCTGTGCCACCCCTTCCTTCATAGGACTGAGCTCCCTGCCCTGAAGAGACCGGGCCACGCCGGTGGTGCAGACTGGAGCAGATTCAGCAGCCAGCTCTGCACTCACCTCCGCCCGTTCACCGACAGCCAGACTACGATGCCAGAATGTACCCATGAAGCTGGGATTGGGAGTAAAGAGAGGGTTTCTCACCCCACAGGTGACCTGAGACACAAATGTGCAATTAAAAGAGTTTATTTTAGACCAGAGCCTCCTGTGTGCCCTCTCACTGGCCTGTCTGCTGGGACCATCGTGGTTGAAGGGGTGGTAGCGATGATTCACCTCCTGGGTGGGGAGGGAGGAGCCCTGTTATAATCCCACAGCCTTGGGCAGTCAGGTGGCCGGTAAGGGGTTAGCAGGTGGCTTCAAGGTCATCTGACTTTGGAAGCTAGGATCCTAGTTGTCTCTCTCAGGGGTGCATGCCTCCTCCACCCTTCTTGTCTCTGCCTTTGGATCCCCTTCTCTGCACCCACATCTTAGGGGCCCCTGGCGGCCTCACATCCTGTGTGTGACTTTGCCCTTCTTACTGATACAGCTCAATAATTCAGGATTTCACAAGAGGAATGCTGCTGGGCCCTTTGGGTCTGATCACACGAGGCAGAGGTCACGGCCAGCCTCCTTGGATCTGAGTCCAGCTTGGCCACTAGACTGTGGTGTGCCCAGTCACGGGGCCCCCACCGTCACGTGTGCTGTGGCCTTCATGGAATTGATTTCGTAGTTCTGCGTCGAGCACCTCCTGAATGCCGGGCCCTACGCCACATCTCCCGGGCACTGAGGATGTTCTTGCCCCGGGGCACTTACACTCCAGTGGCATGCCGGGCGCCTGTCTCTGCTGGGGACAGTATGTTCCATCTTTCATGTATATGTGCCTGTGTCATGGGGGTTTCCTACCTCTCTCAGTACACGGGTGTCTGTCTCCCGGGAAAGGGTCCCATCTCTGGGTGTGACTGTCCCCCCAGGTACCCATGTCTCCTCCTCACCTGGCTCCTGGTCCCAGCTAGTGGGTCCTGGACAGCAGGGAGCCCAGCCTTTGGGGCCTTGAAGGAGAGCCTTGCTCCTGGTGGCCACGCCGAGTGCCAGTACGTCTCCTCCGTCTGCTGCTTGTTGGGGGTAGGCCTGACAGCCAGCACAGCTCCTCTGGAAGGCCCAGGAAGCCCTGCCTGTTGGGGCTGGGGAGAAGATGCTTCCTCCCCACCCCAGGGCTCTACTGTGATACTCACCTGCTAACTCTGGACACCAGTCTTCCAGGTTTTCCAGTAGGGACTCATAGCGAGTGGGGGCCCCACCCTCCCCATCTGTGGAGGTAAAAAGAAAGGCTCCTTACTGGCCCCTGCTTCTCACTGTAAACCTATTTGCCGGCTCAGGCTGGGGTCAGGGCCGGGCATTGGGTACAAGGGTCAGGGCTAGGTTCTGGCCAAAGTGGCGGCCAACAAGTCTTGGGCTCCACTTACTAATGATCTGCACGAGGACATAGGTCCCACGCTCCTGCAGCAGGGCGCCGCCTGTGGAGGGGGCCTGGGAAGCCCCCTCCTCCAAGTCTTTGCTCAGGATCACCAGGTGCCCATCCTGGCCCAGCAGGGCGACGGTTGCTGGGAGGGCAGGGAGGTAGGCAGCACAGGGCTGGTACCCATGCCTGCAGCCCTGCACCCCCACCCCATCACCCCTCCTTGCCCCTCACCATCTGGAAGCGCCCGCCCCCTCTGCCTTAGGTGGGCAGTGAGAGTCTCCAGGCTGCACCAGGGGTTCACCAGCTCCCAGCAGCCAGCTGTGGGGAAGGAGCAGAGGTGAGCGAATGAGCCTCTCTATTTCCCCCCAATCTGGGACTGTATGCTTCTCCCATTTCTCTCTCCCCTCCCTTTTTTTTTTTTTTACTTAAGTGATTTGTTAAAGTACAATTTACATAACATAAAATCCATTATTTTAACCAAAGTATATGATTCAGTGGCATTCATAGGTATGTTCAGAGTTGTACAGCCATCACCTCTATTTCTAAAATATTTTTGTCACCCCCAAGAGTAAACAATGTCCCCACTAAGCAGTTAACTTTTTTCTTTTCTTTTTTCCAATTACAGTTTACATTCAATATTATTTTATATTAGTTTCAGGTATACAGCATAGTGGTTCTCCCATCTCTTAATCAGAGCAGGGAGTAGGACTGCAGAATAGATAACTGTACCCCGCATCAGCCAGCTCTCCAGATGGTAGCGATGGGTGCACAACTCATGCCTCCCGCACTGGACAGCCTCCTGCCCACAACGGACCCTCTCCCACCGGAGGCTTGGGAATTGCAGCTGGTTAGAGTTCAGGTGCCTGAGGCACCCTGGACTTTGAAGGCCACTGACAGTAGTCAAGAGATCACGCAGTTTAAAAACACCCTCCGTGAGAGCAGCATGGCAGATGCTCTAGGGAGAGGGGCCCGTGTGGGTTTCCTGGTACCCAGCCTGGCTCTTCCCTTCCCAGGACTCGCTCCAAGCACTAGTTCTGCTTCCTCAGAGAGGTCCTTCCCCAAAACCCCCATCTCCTTCCCCGCACTGCCTCCACCCTCTCCCCAGGGCAGAGGGCAGCAAGCTGAGTGTACCATTCCGGACCCATCTGCTGGAACCCGGGGCCTTACTTACCTCCAAACATCACCGTGATAAACATGGCTTCAGGGGAGAGAAAACAGATGTGGGGGCTTTGGTACCCCAATGGCTGACTAAGGAAAGAACTGGGGCTGAGATCTACTAGTTATATGTGTTTGTGGGTGGATCCGTGGGTGACGAGTAGGTGATGGGTGGGTGAGCCTGGGCTGAAGTCCCTACTTGGCCTCCTCTTCCTCCTGCTGGCTAGGTCAGAGTAGCAGGAGGAGACAGGCCCTCCCAGCTTCCGAGCCGGTCTCCATGGTAGTGGGAGCTGCCAAGACATCCAGGCAGGAAATGCCTTCCCCTCAGTATCCTGGTAACCAGATCTGAGGTAAGGCTACAGTGGGGCCTGGAGCCTTGGTTTCCAGGGACATCCAGAGACCACATTCTCCCACCAGTAGAGACTGAGCTCCCAGACTGAAAGTGGGGGAGGTTCCTGGGGGCAGTAGCTCACCCCTGTGAGCTGGTAGCTGGCCAGGCCCTGGCCAACATGGGGTCCTCACCAACCTTGCAGGCTCCCCACCAACTCAAGGCCCGTTCTCTGCCCCCTGCTCCTGTTCTTTCCCTCTGCCTTCCTCCTTGTTCCAGCCTCCCCTATCTTCTTCTGTTCTTGTAGGGTTTTTTAAGTTAACTTTGAGGTAAAATTTATATACAGTAAAATTTACCCTGTTTAGTATTTTGAGTTTTGACAAATCTCATGTAACTACCACCACAGTTGGGATACAGAACATTTCCATCACTTCCCAAAATTTCCCCATGCCCCTTTGTAGTCAGCTCCAGCCCCTGGCAAGCACTGCCTTTTCCAGAACGTCCTATAAAGGGACTCACACAGCACGGGACCCTTCGAGTCCTACCTCTTTCACACAGCAGAATGCATCTGAGACTCACTCAGGCTGTCGGCTGTATCAGGGGTCTGTTCCCATACACAGACACAGTTATACGTGTAGTTACATGTACAGTTGCACACATATAACTACATGTATGTATGGAGTTTGTTGCTTTTGATCTTTGGGGGAGTCTCGTTCTCTGTGTGTTGATCGGTTTGTTGATCCATTCACCTGCTGTTTTGGGTTGTTTTCAGTTTTTGGCGATTATGATAAAGCCAGTGTAGAATTTGCCTACAGGTTTTTGTGTGACTCAGTGTTTTCATTTCTCTGGGATAAACACCACGGGAGGAATTCCTGGGTCAGATGATGAGACTATGTTTAACTGCGCGGGAAACTGCCAGTGTTTTCCAGCATGGCCGCACCGTTTTTCCTTGTCCCTCTTTTGTCTGGTTGTGGCCAGACCTCCCAGAGGCACGGCTGTCCCTCTCACCACCTCTCTCGCTCTCTGCCCCCATCTCGCCATCTTTCCCTGTCTCGTATTTATCTGTCTGTCCTTCCCTCTTCTCCTCCCTCCCCTCCGCGCTGCATCTCCCTTGTTCTTTCTTTGGGTTCTCGTGTTGTTTCTCTGCCTCTCCACCTGTGCCCCACCTTCCCCTGACTTCTCTCTCTCCCTCTTCCTCTCACTTTATCATCCTGCCTCTTTCCTCCTCCCTTATCATCTCTTCTCTCCAGTTCTGTCTCCTGCCCACCACCCAAGAGCCCCACCAGTCAGGGTACCCAACCTTTGCCAGCTCCCTTTTCCCCAAGTGCTCAGAATCAGTGCTGTGGAAACAAACAGCATTTCCCAAACTTATTTAAACACAGGCCACTTTGTGCCGGGGACACCACTGTATCTGGGGCCCCGAGTCCTGCAGAACCACACACAGCTCAGGGGTGGCTGCAGCCAGATTCTGAAGGAACAGCCCCTCTGGGTCCTGGACCCTCAGCTCTGACAACCGTCGCTGTGGTCAGGGAGCTCTGCCTTTGGTGCAGATGGGGGGTCTCTTATCTTGAGGGTTGTGGAGATGTGGGGGTGTCAGGAGTGCACTGGGACCCGTGTGGGCGGGGGGGTGTTTATAACAATCCCCCAAAGGAGCTCTCAGGCTGCGAGATAATGAGAGTGCACTGTTTCGATTAGTTTTATGATATTATTTAGGTCTGGTAAGGCTGGCAGAGCAGTAGATGATGGCCATGGAGAAAACAGTTTGTTACAGTCCCCAAGAGGAGGGGGGGACACTGTGTCCCTAGGGAGGGGGTCACATGGGGGAAGCACCAGGATCATCAGGAGACACAGGGATAGGGGGAAACGGGTCCACAGCCTTTATTGGAGTTTCAGAGGGAAGGAACAGGCTCAAGAGTAATTTCAGAGGGTATGGGGGTGTAGGGTTATTACTGATTGGCCGGTACCTGGGTGGCTAGTGCAGGAGGATAGAGAGAGCCCAATAAAGGAGGTAGGTGGGAGTGCGGGCTCAGGGTTGCTTGGTTTGCATTTGGAAAGTATCTCTAGGAGCTGGCTAACCCTGGGAGGGTCAGCCCTCTAGGTCAGCAAGGCCCCAGATGTTAAAGCATCAGAATGCAGGAAATAAACAACGTGATTGATAAATGTGCTGTGCCTGGCAGGGGGTACACAGTCCTGTCTTTGCATTTTTACAGCTCTTGAGCCAGCACTATGCTTATCTTCATTTTCCAGATGAGGAAACTGAATCCAAGCCAGTCAGCTCTGCTCCATCTGGCAAATCAAGGCACTGACCACATCAAGGCTGGTAAAGATGTGAGTCACTTACCCACTGATGGGAGCGCTGACGGTATCCACCACAGCTGAACGTACGCATTTCCTACCCCCAGGCCCTTCTAATGCTGGGTGTCTGTCCAGCAGAAATGAAAACACAGGTGCATCAAAGACACTGACAGGATCGTTCACAGCAGTTTTATTTGTAAAGGCCAAGGGCTGGAAAGCACAGGAAATAACAGGATAATGGGTAAACTAATTCACACAATGGATCACGCATGGCTATTAGGACGAATTAAACATCACTCACATTCTGGATGATGGCCATAATGTTGAACAAAAGGAGAAGGAAGAAAAGAGGATACACTCGCATTTCATTATGGGAGGTTCCAGAGCAGGCAAAACTGACCTAAGTGATTGAAGGCATAATGATGGTCCTTACGGTTGGGGGTGGGGGAAAGTGGTGGGGGATGAGAGAGCCTTCTGGGGAGATGGAAATGTTCTAAATTTTGATTTGCGTAGAGGTTACAGGGGTATGTGAGTGTGTGTGTATATATATGTATTTTATCTACAAAATCATCGAGCCATACTTCAAAGATTTGTGCACTTTATCATATGTGAGGCACACCTCCGTGTAAAAGCAGCCCGTTCTGCATTGCACGTGTGGCTTTCAGCTTCTGTTCTCAGAAGGCCCTGTGAGGTCAGGATGCTCACGTTTGGGAAGACGGGGCCTGGTGGTTGGGGCCCAACCACTGCCTCCCCCCACCCATCAATGGGCTGATTTGCATGCCCTGTTGTGGCCCAGTAGCCTCCCCGGCTAGTGCCCTAAAGCACCTGGAGCACGCCCAACAGAACACTCCTGTCTGCCTCCCTGCTGCCACAATGGCCTGGTGGCACCTGGCCCTCCTTCTGATTGGAGACCTGCTGGCAGGTGAGCCCTCCCTGGGCCTGGCTCACCTGGGGTTACGTGGGAGATGGCACTGGCTGCAGAGGCCTCCTGCAAGGGAGCAAATAGATGTGAGCCGTGGGAGGATTCTAGAAGGGGCTCTGAGGTGGAAGGGAGAACTAGCTACAGGTGGCTCTGCTCTAGACCTGGGCCAAGTCACTTCTTTGTGTGGGGCTCAGTTTCTCCATTTCTGAATGAGATCACCAGGATCCCTTTGAATTTTGACTCTTTAGGGTTTTAGAAGGGACTAGAACAGGTCACCTTTTGAGTTTTTCACAGGGAAAGCTGGTGTGGGCTGGTCCTCATCTCACAGTGTCTCAGGAACAACCAAACTCCAGGAAGGTCCCCAGCATCTGAGGCTGAGCTGATGGGTGGTACAGCCCAGGAAACTTCCTGGAGGGGCTGAGTCTATAGCCAGGGTGTGAAAGAGCCAGTCCGACCAAGGGGCCAGGGGTCTTCAGTGCCCCGAGGGGTAAGAGTGAGCAACAGAAGCAACCAGAGGCCACCATCCCACATTGTAAACTCTAGGCCCTCCACTGAACACAGATCCTTGGGAACATGGCGCTAACAGGGACTTAGGAGTTGCCATCTCAGTACCCCACCCAGTGCCGACACCATGGCAGCAGAAGGGCCTTCAGGAACAGGAATTGTTTGGGAGTCTGACCGAGACTTCATGAGGCAGGGGTGGGAGAGAAGGGGCCCAGGCCAGGCCTGAGCACGTCTGTCTCTCTCAGTCTCCCAGGCAGCTCTGACCCAGCCAGAGGCACTGTTGGTCTTCCCAGGCCAAGTGGCCCAACTATCCTGCATGATCAGCCCTCGTCATGCCACCATTGGAGACCATGGAGTATCTTGGTACCAGCAGCGAGCAGGGAGTGCCCCCCGCTTTCTCCTCTACTACCGTTCAGAGGAGGATCACCACCGCTCCCCAGACATCCCGGATCGTTTCTCGGCAGCCACAGATGCAGCCCACAATGCCGGCATCCTGATCATCAGCCCCGTGCAGCCGGAGGATGATGCAGATTATTACTGCTCCGTGGGCTACATATCTTAGGGGTGGGGTGTGGGATGAATGCCTCCTGTCTGTCTCCCACTTCTGTCCTTGACCTTAGGTCCCTCTCTAACTTTCTCTGAGCCTTGATGTTCCTCCTCTGTAAAATGGGCTAATAATATCTGGCATGTCAACAATAACTATTCAAAAGGCCATGAGATTGCTGCTGAAAAAGTGATTGCATTTGGTCTGGGAGGAGGAGGAGGGCATTCTGGGGTTTGGTGCAAAAGAGGAAGAATCTGGGACCCTTGGGGCAGGGTCCGGCCCCTCCACTGGCCCCCAAGGGGCTCAGATGGGTAGCCTGGCCTTCCTGTGACCCAAAGTGCTGGAGGGAGAAAAAAGGAACCAGCCCTTGCCACTCCCAGCTCTGCATGGCTGGTTGTGGTCCAATGCTCACTCGGTGACAACTGGGCCCCCATGGAGACCAGGCTGCTAGGTAGGGGAGGGACAGTCCCTGCCTACTCCTTGATGGGGCAGGGAGGCAGGTGACAGGTGTGAGTGTGTGCGCGTGTGTAGGGCACTCAGAGGCACCTGAGAACCTGGACGAAGGGTGCTGAGACAGATGGGCAGATGATAGGGGCAGAATGGACAGCATCCCCCCTCTCAGGAACACGTGTCCTTCTGATCTCCCATGAGAGGGCTGTGCAGTTTCCCCCACCCGCCCGGGGTGGGGGGAGTCGCACATGCAGGTGGGCCCAGAGGCAGCACTGGGGATGGGGGGAGGCAAGTCTTGTCATCAGAAGCAAAGCTCAGTGTCTGGGAGTGGGGTGGGGTGTTCAAGAACACACCCGTCTTCCCTCCCGGTTCCCCTAAGAAGTGTCCCATGCCTGGACGCCATCCCTCAAATTCTCTCAGTCCAGAGAGGGTTGGCCTACTCTCCCGGTCATCTGGGAGGCCCTCAGCCGGCTCCTCCTCTCCCCTCCATCTCTGTGATGGCAGGGTGGGCAGGCAGATGAACCAGGAAGCATGAGTCCTTACAGGATCCCTGGGCCTATGAGAAGTGACGGGCTCCACTCTAGAATCCCCTTCTTCTCTTGAAGACCCCAGACGCCCCAGAGGTCCCTGGCTTGCCCCCACCTCCAGGGAAAAGGGCAGCGAGCACTGGGCCTGCTGCCTGCGGCAGCCTGTTTCCTCCCCTGCAGTCCTGCCGGCGCCTGCCCAGCCGTTTTCCTCCCAGCCGGGATGCACTTTGGGGGCAACCCGGAGCCACTGCGTCGGACTGGAGAGACTCCCCAGATTCCTGTCCTTGAGCCCTGGAGCAGGGAGGGTAAGCGCGGAGACTCCCCGTGCGACAGGACCACAGAGACGCGTGAACCTCCGCGCGGCCTAGAGCAGTCCCGGAAGTGCCCGCGGGTTGGGGGCGGGGCTGCGGGCTCTCGGGCCGCCAAGGGCTCCGCGTCAGCAGCTGCCGGGAAGCGGGGCCGGTCGGCCGCGGGTTGGAGCAGCTCAGGTGCAGCCCCGCCCCGCCTGCCCGCGGCCCCGCCCCGACCTAGGTGAGCGGCTCCGCCCAGGCCCAGGTGAGTGGCTACACATCAGCCGGTGTTCCCACCTGTCCCTCGGGTGGTCCGGGGTGCGGGCGTCCCAATTGGTGGGAAGCATGTTGGGGTACCGGTGTCGCCGCCCGGGCTGCGTGTGCTATTCCGCGGCCGCTGGCTGTCCTCCAGTCGGGAATCCTGCCCGGACCGTGGGTCTGCTTGGTGCCCGGCCCTGTGGGCTCCCTAGAGAATGGGGTGACGGATGCTGGAGGAGCCGGGAAGGCCCGAGGGAAGTGCGAAACATGGGGTTCCAAACCTTTGGATTTTCGGTCCAAAAACGTTTAAAACATCGTTGAGGACAGTAAAGGATTGCCAACTTTTTTTTTTTAACAGAATGGAGACTTCAGGGTGTAGGTGGTACTTAGTGGGAACAGAAAACTCCTAAAGAGGAAACCTTGGAAACACCGTGGTTTAACAGGTGGGTGGAAGGAGAGTTGCAGTCCACAGATAACAAGGAGGAATCTAAAGGCATGACGACTGAGGGCCGGGGGGACCTTTCAGAAACCAAGGGAATAAAGTGGGGGCGTGGGAGTGCGGGTGATTTGTCCAGCAAGCTCAAAGCCTTGAGGCATCCAGGTAGGCAAGGTGGGTTTAGTAAGGGGCGGGCCCATGTTCTCACATCTTCCAGTTTATCAAGAGAAAGCCAGAAACCTACTGAGTTTTCTAAATTGGCAGCGAAGTCAAACAAAAAGGAAAAGCCAAACTCTTTTGAGAGCCAGACTAAACGTGTCTGTGGCGGGATCCCCTGGCTGCCAGCTTGCAACCTCTAAAATGAAGGGTTTGGAGAAGGAGGTATTGACGAGTGGTGCCAGAAGGGTGGGGAAGCGAGGGCTGAGAGGAGAGGGATTGGCAGTGAGGAGGTCACTGGACGCTGGAACTGAGTGCCGGAGTTCCAGCTGAAACTGGAAACTTGAAATCACATAGTCGTATGATTTTCCTTGGCAACATCGAACATTTTTAGGAGGAGGAATGGGCAGGAAGGAATCAGTGGCTGGTTGCAGAAGTGCACATTGGTGAGGGATGTGATGCTGGTCAGAGAGCAGAAGTGATGTCTGTCCTTAGGCCCACTGTAGATGGAGAGTGTCTCAGCCACATAGGCACAGGCAGAGCTAGAGGAGGAGCATGATGTGACTGGGGTGGGGTGGGGAGGGGTGGTAGATATGATGAGGCGAGTGGGAGAACTGGGAGGGCTGGAGATTGTGGGTGCTGAAGAGGAGGTAAAGAAGGAGCAAAGAAGACTCATTAAGGTGGCTGAAAATTCATTTAAACATATTTCCAAATAGAAATGGGATCCATCGTGACTATTCTGATTAATTTAATCTATTTTTCTTTTGAGCCAATTACTCCCTAAGCCTCAGGGAAAGGATAATAGCACCTTTGTATAGAGTTGTGAGGATTAAATGAGATCTGCTTGTAAAAGGCCTAGCAGTACCCAGCACAGAGCAGGTAGATGACTGAGAAACATGAGCTGTCATCATTATGGTACCTGGGGAATTTCCCTTTAGCTGCACAGAAGTTTCTAGATGGGGTCCCGAGAGGTTCCCTCAGGGGCCACCACACCACAGTGATGGGGGACTAAGTGGGAGTGTTCAGCCCACTTCTTTGTTCCTACAAAACCACCCCCTTCAACGGGAGCAGTCATACTTTTGTCTATTTGATTTATTTATATCTCCCAGAGAATTGCCTTTTTTTGAGTAAAGGGTTCAAGTGTGACAGTCATTTCTAGCACAAAACCAGATGGCTTTTCCTCCATTCAATCATCTAGTAATTCAACAGATGTGTATGTAGAGATTGTCTTCTCATGCTGGGGGCTGGGGCTTCCTAAATGAAGGAGCACAGGACTCGCCCTGAGGAGCTCACAGGCAGCGGTGGGGAGGGTCCTGTCAGCCCACATTTGCCATGGTGGTGACTGCTCGGTGGACGTGTGCACCGCACAGGTCACCAGGGGCTGTGCCTGATTCCATCAGTCTGCTGGTGAAGAGGAGAGGAAACATTTGGAGTGAGTCTGGAAGGATGAGCCAGTGGCAGTTTGAGAAGGGGGAGGGACCTGGTAGGTGGAGGAAACAGCAGAGCAAATGAGTTTTTGAGCTGGAAGGTTAGGGGTGTGTAAAAGGAGAGGTAGGGCTGGGCTGGAAGGGCCTGTGAAGGAGCTGAGCTGTCCCAAGATCCTAGGACAAGATGTGACAGGGTCAGGCCTGTGCTTTGGGTCTTTGTCATTGGTGTCGATGTAGAGAGCAGAGCAGAGGAAGGAGTGGAGGTTGGAGATACGCAGCCAGTTGGGAGGTGAGTATCGAAATAATGTCACGGGTTGCACTGAGGCCTGAGCTGCAGAATGGCAGCGAGGACAGAGAGGCAGGGACCCTTTCAGTAAAGCCTCAGGAAGTGGACAGGACAGGACATGTGGGTGAGAGAGGAAGGTCTAGGCTGACTCCCAGCATTCTTGGCTGGGGCACCAGAAGGAAGAAAGTGTTCTCCTTCTCTCTCTCTCCACCCCCCACCAACAAAACCCCACCTCCTACGCCCTCCGGTAGTCGGGGCGCTGCTCCTTCTCCATATGGCTCCGCTTCCTGCTCTAGCCCACCTTTCTGAACATCCTCAGCATTTAGAGTGGACTCCATACTGTGGTGCTCGATCCTGTATTTTCTGTATTTTTTGCAATTGTTTCTGTTAAGTCAAACTTCTCTCTAACTCGGTGGGGATCATCTCAAGCGGAATATTGTTCCTTATACTTATTTCGTTGTATCTACCCTTGTTTCTGGCTCAGGGAGGAGGCCTGTGTTAGGTATGCGCTTGACTGCCAGCTTGACAACACTCCTGTTTTCTTTTCAGATTGTAAGAAAAGTAAGAGTGCCCCGAAGAACATTGTTAAAGAAATACAGTCGTTGGGGGTGATACTAGATCCACAATGGAGGTTCCCCCAGCAGCCAAGCTTGGGGAGACCTTTGTGTTTGAAGATGGGTTAGAGATGCACCAAGAACTCTTCCCAGAGGAGGACCTGGGGGACGCATTTCTTCAGGAAAGAGGCTTAGAGCAAATGGCCGTCATCTATAAGGAGATCCCGCTGGGGGAGCCAAGTGAGGAACATGATGATTACGAGGGGAATTTCAGTCTGTGTGCGAGCCCTGTTCAGCCTCAGGGTCTTTCCCAAGTAAACAAACCTCAGGACGATGAGCTATTTGGCCAAACCTTCCTCCAGAAATCAGACCTTAGTATGTGTCAGTTAATCCATGGTGAAGAAGAACCTAGTAAACATGACTGTGACCTAGTAGGGAGGGGGGACTTGGGACCCACTGACCCTCACAGAACGGCACAGCCACCAAAACCCTATGCATGTCGGGAGTGTGGGAAGGCCTTCAGCCAGAGCTCACACCTGCTCAGACACCTGGTGATCCACACGGGGGAGAAGCCCTATGAGTGCTGTGAGTGTGGGAAGGCCTTCAGCCAGAGCTCGCACCTGCTCAGACACCAGATCATCCACACCGGGGAGAAGCCTTATGAATGCCCAGAGTGCGGAAAAGCCTTTCGCCAGAGCTCGGCCCTCACGCAACATCAGAAAACCCACACTGGGAAGAGACCCTATGAGTGCAGGGAATGTGGGAAGGATTTCAGCCGGAGCTCAAGTCTCAGAAAACACGAGAGAATCCATACTGGAGAGAAGCCTTATCAGTGTAAGGAATGCGGGAAATCCTTCAACCAGAGTTCGGGCCTGAGCCAGCATCGGAAAATCCACACCCTAAAGAAACCTCATGAGTGCGATCTCTGCGGGAAAGCCTTTTGTCACCGGTCCCACCTCATTCGGCACCAGAGGATTCACACGGGGAAGAAACCATACAAATGTGAAGAGTGTGGGAAGGCCTTCAGCCAGAGCTCCAACCTCATTGAGCATCGGAAGACCCACACCGGGGAGAAACCCTACAAATGCCACAAGTGCGGGAAGGCCTTCAGCCAGAGCTCCTCCCTCATTGAGCACCAGCGGATCCACACGGGGGAGAAGCCCTACGAGTGCGGCCAGTGCGGCAAGGCCTTCTGCCACAGCTCTGCGCTGATCCAGCACCAGAGGATCCACACGGGGAAGAAACCCTATGCGTGCAACGAGTGTGGGAAAGCCTTCCGGCACAGGTCGGCCCTCATCGAACATTACAAAACCCACACCAGAGAGAAGCCCTACGAGTGTAACAAGTGTGGCAAGTCCTTCAGGGGAAGCTCACACCTCATTCGGCATCAGAAAATCCACGCGGGGGAGAAGCTCTAGGAGGAGGGGCTCACACCAAAGCTCCAAAGCCTTTCCCAGGCCGAACCTGCACCTGGTCACTTTGGCCACAAGGCCCCCGCCCACCTTCCGGATAACAGAGCTGAACCTGGGTGCCCCCGAACAGCCACAACCACAGCAAGGCCCCCTCGTGGCCAGGAGTCCTGGGGCCAGTGGGGTTACTGAGTGAAAGGGGGTGGGGGGTAGGAGGCCGCCAGAGTGGCTGTGCGCCTGAGAAGGGCCTTCAGTTTTCTCGTTCTCACATTTGACTTCCAAGCCTTTGAAGCTGATTGTGTTTCCCTCTATTTAGTGTTTTCCTCTATTCCGGAATTCAGAGGAGGAGTAAATGTAAGGAGGGAGAAAGCTGAGTTAAACCCATGAAAATGTCAGGTGAGAACCCTTCGACATCAGGCTAGAGTCTGGCACTTTTAGGAGAGTAACAATTCTCACAGTCCAAATTAGCTGGAGAAAAAATGAATCCAAAAAGTAGTTACCTCACCACAAAACAGAATCTTCTGCCTGCCCTGGACACTGGTGGAGAACAGGGTGTAGAGAGTCTGGAAGAACTGGCTCTGGGACTGAGGGTGAGGGTGTGAGGCCCTGGTGTGGTCCTTTAATCGGGTTCTGAGGCTGAGGGCAGCCTCTCTCCCAGGAGAGTAGAGGTTCCGTCCTGCAGGCCAGAGGGTATTGGTGCCCAGCTCTGACTCAGCCCAGCCCGAGGCAGAGCGCTCTCTGGGACTAGGCCCTCCACAAGACCCGGGGCCTCCGAGACCTCAGTGTGCCTTGGACATCAGCAGGGCGTGTGTTTCTGGGCTGGCGGCTCTGCAGCCTCTTCACCTTCCAATGCGGGGTCACGCTGGGGTCGGGCAGGGGTAGAGGGAACTCCGGAAGCAGGGTGGTTCAATCAGAGGTTCAGACCTCTGGGTCCAAGTCTTGGTTCTGTCCTACCTCTGTGACCTTGAGGAAGCCCCAAGCCTCCGCTTTCCTATCTGTGAAACGGGGATGGTGGGGCCTGGCCACGTATTTCTCAGGACTGGAGCAAGGCTTCCATTCAGAATGAGGCCCCATGTGAAAGTGCTTTGACAACTGGTGATTGAGTGTGGTTGCCCCACTGGAGACACTGTCCCTGAAGCCTGGAGAGACATCCCATCTGGTCCCCGAAACAGCAGAGCTTGCAGCAGTCCCTCGTTAAACCAGGCTTTCCCATACTCCCTCAGGCTCGCACCCGGGCTGCGCTGCCCTGTGTTTGTCCCGCACACAGACATTGCCTGGGGCCATCCCGAGCCACCCCTCGGTGGCAGTGCAGTCTGTGTCCCTGCACATCTCTCTGTCCTCCCCTCTGCCAACTGGTATTCAGCCAGGGGTGGGTCCCATGTGGACCAGTCGGTGGGCATCCCCAGAGGTGGGAGGGGTGTTTTTAAAGCTCCTCGGTGGTTATGTGTCCCTGCACACATCCAGGCCGTGAGCCCTGTGCTGGGCACCACGCAGCCCCAGCATCTCCCAAAAGTCAGGCCGGCTTGCCTGGACTGAGGAGAGCTTGAAGGTGACCACTGCACCTCAGTCCCCCAGGAGTGGGCTCTGGCAGGGATGCTGCAGGGTCTGGCTAGTTGGTAATTGTCCTGGGCCCTCAGGCCTTCGGGTGGCCCTGGGGATCATTGGTACTGGCTTTCCCCCCAGGCTTCTCCGGCTAGTGTGGGAGGAGGCAGTCTGAGCTATTTTGAAGTTTTCCAAACATTACGGCTGGAATTACATGAATGCATCAGGGTGACACTGGTAATTCCAGCTAATCAGAAGCTTAGCTTGGCTATTATATGTAATCGGATGACTAAAATGGGAGAGCCGTGGTTGTTACTTGGTAAGTGGGGCTCGAGAGCCAGAGGTTTGATTTTATTATTAAACAACAAAAATTTTTAATGCTCCAACCAACTAAGCTCTCTGGCCAAGACAGTAGCCAGAGATTTTAAAAGGTGGTGGGGGACATCACTTCTCTCCCGGTCTGCCCTCTGCTGTGTGAGTGTGTGAAACGTTAAACTAGCACCCCTGGGGCCCCGGGACCTGCTTCTCCACCTGCCACCTGGGCGCCTGGGCATCATAGCCATTTACCAAGAGGGAGGAGAGAATGCTGAGACCCCCTGCTTGGTGCAGGTGACAGCAGCCACCTGCCCCCATCTCCTTTGGTGGCCTCTCACCTCATCCCTGTCAGGTGTCATCTGTTTCCTTCCACGTCCTGCTGTAAAAGGCACAACATTTACAGGACCTGAGGAGAAACCAGAGCGTTCCTTCCACATCCTTCCATGCACCAGAACCAAATCGAATTTTTTAAAGCATCACTTTGCACATGTCACTGCTCCCCTCAAAACCAGCCTTTCAGGGCTTTTCTGCACATAAACCCCCATTTCAGCCAGTCCCGTTCACCTTGCTCTCTAAGCAAGCCATGGTGCGGCCTGTCCTCAACTCGGTCCCAGCTTCTCTCGACTCCTTTTATGCCGTTCTCGCGTTTTGGGATTTGCACTTTCTCATCCTCCCCCACCTGTCTCCTTCCTTCCTTTTGATAGTTGATGTAACTGCAGGATGAAAACCCCTTTCTGAAGGGTTGACAGTTTCAAGTAATCACAGGAACACCAGGGACCTCTCACCTTTGGAAGTGCGAGCAGAACCTAGTTCCTTCTGGTCAATTTCTTTCACTGTTTCATTACATGTTTGAATTCTTTCCATTTTATTTAGGTTCCCAGTGTAATGTTTTGAGACATGGCCCTGGTAATATTTAATCGTTCTTGAATTTAGTTGTTTCTGTCGTCTTTCTTTTCCTCGTGGCAGATCTCGAGTGTTGTACGTACAAGTCCAACTCTTGGTCTTGTTCACTAGTTGTTGTGTCAAAGTACGTGTATTCTCTTCTGTTTTGTCTTAATAGTTTATGTCTCTAAGATTAATTATTAGTTAATCATTTTTAATGTTTCTAGTGAATGTGGGTACTTTGATCTACAGGTGTTTTTTTTTTCCCCTATAGTGAGGGCCTTTTCTGCACTCAAGTTTGACATGTGGTATTTTCTGTTATTATATTAGGTATTTCCTTTTGGCCCAAATGTTGTTATGACTTTTTGTATTCCCAAGTGACAAATGCTTAAGTCATTGTTATTTCTTACTGTATTGTGGTGTCAACATTTCGAAGTATCCATAGAACTTTGTCAGGCCTGAATATATTATCAGTTTTTATAAAGCATTTGTGTACTCTCGAGAAATGTGTTCTTACTCCATCAGTTTTATTTGTTAAGTCAGTTTTTAAACGATTTTACTGAAACTCATATTTTCTCTGAGTTTTGCTTACTTCAGAGTTCTGGGCCTGGGGTCCATGGACGGCCTAGGAGCCTGTGAACACACAGGGCTTTTAGACACTGTGGACCGCTAGGGGCTGAATAAAGCTCCGTGGATGTATGTGTATGAATGAATCATTCTGGGAAAGGGGTCTGTAGCATTAGTCACATTTTTCAAGGGCAACGCCAAAATAGTTACGAACACTCATTTACCTGATCTAATTGCAGTGAGATTTTGTGTTTTTTCTTTGCGTATTTCTGTTCCCCTTCCATTTCGGTTCCTCTTTTACATGCATGGTGTTGCTGTGTTGCCATGCAGTCACCACAGCTCTTTTTGGAGACACGGGCAGGGTGGACATTGTCGGTAAGTACCGCGGTACCTGGGGTCTGTGTATTGACGGTGACCTGTGGAAAAACTGTGCCTTTCACTGCCCTCTTTGCCTCTCGTACGGCTTCTAGCTCACACTTCTCTTTTCCAAATCCTTTGCTTTTCTTGATTTGCATTTGCATGAGAGTTTATTGAGCTCAGCATTTTAATTTTTAAATTTGTGTATATATTTTGCTATTTCTCTGTAACTTATAAATACCAAGTTGTTGATTTTTATTTTCTAATCCTTTCTATAATTCTCTTCCTTCTTGTGTAAGAAGTTCCGCCGTTAACATTGTTGTTTAGAGTAAGGCGTAATTTTTATTTTAATGTTTTCATATTTGCTAACTCATTCAACCCCAAAAGGCCATGCTCGTTCGTGTGTGGAATATCATTTCTGGGTAGACTGGAAGCCTGCCATTGGGCGCACTTGTGCCTCCTTACGTTCCTCAGTGCCAGGCTCCGCCCCAAGCCCACTCTTCAAATTGCAGCCCCTGGTTTCCGTGGCCTTGGCTGTGATGCAGAAGAATGATGCCACCTCGCAGCCTGTGGGGCCCAGAGGAGGAATGAAAATAAACTTGCGTGGCATACTGAGGGCATAGATTGCACTATTAGTACTTAGAAATATTGAACTTTCTATTCTGACTCCTAAAGTTCTTTGAATGTAACAGAGAACATTACATTGTACTTTGCTTTTTAGCAAACACTGCCAGGTGTAGCAAAGAATTAGGCATCACAGACCCCCCCAGAGTGACCCCACAGTCATTTCAAGAGAAGCGAGGACCCTGATCTTACACCCCCCCACCCCCCTCACCTGTCTGTCCCAGGCCAGTTCTCCCCAACTTTCTCTTTCTCCCCTAACCCCCTCCTGTGGCAGGGGAGGGCATAACTGAAAAGGTTCCAGAAGCTGGTCGCTTGTGGCCGCTTTTATTACAGGTGGGGAAACAGAGGCTAATGACTTACCAAAAATGTGGCGATTTGTGTTAGCTCCACCTGCAAGTCATGGGGAAGAGCGCTTCTGGATGCCGGGCTGGAGCTCCAGCCCGGTGCTGCCAGAACTTTTCAGAGGTGGCAAGTGGGTTTAGTCACTGCTGGCTAAGGTGAAAACCAAATTGCTTTAATCCGCTCAGAGTTGCTCAGCTCTTGGGCATGAGCAGACATTTGCAAACATCCCACAAAATGGGTATATTTGCCAGAATGCCAATACATGGATTTACTGGAGGTGGGAAAAGAGAAACCCTTTTCTTATCGAAGAACGCCATTTTCAACATGTGATAACCCAAGAAACCAAGTGACTGTGACACTGGGGTGTCGTGGGATGGGCCATTCCTTCTGCAACACAGGCTGTTGGAATGCTGGTGGGGGCGGGGCCCTGTGCTAGAGACACTCGAATGTTGGTCACCTCCCACCGTCTGCCCACCACCAAGCTTTCCAGGTGCTTCCTACCCTTGGGTCTTCTCCCTCTGAGGTCTACAGCGCCCTCTGCTGGTGCCTGTAAGCACTTGAAAGGCTGTGTGATCTCGAACTCGAAGTGTTGCTGGCTTTCAATCCCTGCTTCCCTTGTGGCTACCCTCAGCCAGGCTAGCTAGCTCTTCTTCCCCTAGAGATTACCAGAAGCACCTCTGTTTCTTCCCTGTGGGTCTCGCTTAGGTACAGTACCTGGAACCCCAGAAGCGAGGGGTGGGGGGGGTCATAAGCTGCCATGCAGTAGTGTGCTGCCTCCTTAATCCACTTGGAGCCTAAACCTCATCTCCCCGGAAAGGTGGCAGCACAATGTATACTCCAGGATTGGACCTCTCCCGGGGCCACAGGCACCCTCAAGCAAAGAGCTGTCCCCAGCACATAGTGGGGGTTGGCAGGGAGCCCGGCTCCCCTCTTGGAAGCCGGTGGGGCTTTATCTGGATCTTGTACATGGGCATCTTATCCTAGGGCCCCACTGCCTCTCCCTGCTGTTGGCCCCGAGTGTGTGCCTCCTCCCTGTCATCTCCCCTTCTACCTGACTGAGCCCTGCAGGGGAGAGGCCTGCAGGTTTCACTGGCCACCACGACACCCTGCTGAGTGGCACTCACAGCCCTCCACCAGCATTTGCTGTGTGAACGCTGGACTTCCGCCCACCTGTCCTGCTCATCAGTGGTACTTCTCAACCCTCTTTCTACCCTGCTTTTTCCTCCACCCTTGCTGATCTCAAGCCAGGAATAAATGCTACCTCCTCTACCTTCTCATTCATTAGTCCCCCAAGTCCTGCCCTTAATGTCACTCAAAGCCCCCTCCCCATCCCATACGATTGTTCCCACCCGAGGCTGCTGCCCTCCAGCTGCACAGCAACCTCTCCTGCCTCCCATCTCCTGCCTGACTTTCCTTCCATCCTTCCTCCCCTAGGCAGGCAGAGTGATGGTTCCCATCTGCAGCCTGGTGGGGTCACTCTCTTCCTCACACACTCCCATTGTGTCTATGTAAACCTAAGTGAGGAGGTGTCCTGCCGGCCCTTCCTGCTCTGACACCGCCCGTCCCGCCAGGGTCCCCATGCTCCAGCCACACTGAGCTCCCCCATTTCCCAAACATGCCTTCCTCTGTCTCTAGGGGACACCCCTTTCTCACCCATGGAAAGAGGCCGGGTCACAGAGGGGTAGTTCTCTTCCTAGGTTAGCACCTCTCAAGCCAGACATTCTACCATGCCCCTCCCCAGCCCTGTGCTGTAGTCTGGGCGTTAGGTACAGGTGAGTCAGGGAAGAAGGCCAAGTTTAGGCTCACGGCCAGCACTTCAGTTAGTGGAGAATGAGAGGATAGATAGAGCAAGATCATGTGACTGTCTTATGTCTCACAGTGTCACTGTTAACACTTTCACACATCATCTCCATACCTGGCATATTTGCATATCTCCTAAAAACTGACTGACAAGCACCCCACATGTGGTTTTGCCGGAGCCCTCACCCCCCTCCAGGCCTTGGGCAGACCCCAACAATGGCCAAAGCTCATCTTGCCCTTGTTTTCTTCCCTGTTTGATGGGAGCTGGGGCTGAGCAGGAATTTTGAGGGGAGGCTGGTTCATGGAAGAATTAAATAGGTCAGTTTCAAGATTGTAACTGGTACCTTGTCATTTCATGTTCTCAGGTGAGAACATTGGTAGGAGCTCGCCTCCCCATAGAACGTGGAGAAAGGGGAGTAAAAAATCCCACCAACCCATGGGATAAAGGAGGGCCAGGCTGGGGAACAGCAGGGTTTTCTTGCCTGACACCTCAGCACAGCCCGTCACCCAGAGCAGGAAGCCACCAGGGGACACTATGAGCCTGACCAGGGCACAGATGGAGCAGGACACTCCGCCCTGCCTGGGGCTCACTGACCTGTGGGAAGCCCAGCAGCCGTGTCCCCCTGGCCTGCCCCCATGAGCAGGTCTAGTGTCTCTTCCTCCTCCCCTTGGCCTGAGCCATTCTGCAGACCTGAAGCCAGATCTGCCCCCGGGGGAACCCAGGTCCAGACATGGGGCCCCAGGAGGTGAAATTCAGGGAGTCCTACTGGGTGCGTGGGTGCCACCAGATTTCCACAATCTGTGTCTGTCGTTAGTGGAATCAGCAGACCATGAATAGGAAAGGCTAGAGAAGGCTTGGACAAGACAGTGGACGAACAACCTCACGGCCACCTACGGAGTGTGCTCCGCGTGCAGGATGCTCTCTGCATGCACACGTGCTGGGCTACATAGAAAGTACTGGCAGGCGTCAAAGTCCTGAGGTGCAGATTATGTTCTTGGAGAACCACGCGGTGATGCTAGAGACCAACCAGGACAACGTACCCAGAAACCCAGCTCCTGGCACCGTTCCTCTCTCCTGCTATTCACCATTCGGGCCTGGGACTCCCCCAGCAAGGACGCGCGTCCCATCCTTGTAAGTGGAACTTTGGGCTCTGCCGGCGGTGTAGAGGTTTCAGGTCTCAAGAGAGGAATACCTCTTCCAGGGAGACAACAAGAAGCCACCTTCAGGCCACTGGGCATCTCGTGACTCTTAGGGGCACCGCGGGGCTCCTGCCCTGTGGGGGCTGGGAGCCCCGGGAGCATCAAGGTCCTTCTGTGTCCCGAGATGACAGTTCATGCAGAGTGTAGCCACCTCCTCCAGGCAGGAACACGCATGGCCCAGGCCATTGGGAATAAAGGTTTGGGGCCAGCCCACCAGACTAATAACCCTGACCAGGGCCAAGGGCAAAGGGAATACAGGATGGGTGGGGAAGCAGTGAACACCAGCCGCCACCACATGGGGGGCACGGAAGAGAGATCCGTGGAAGAGCTGTCTGGTCACCTGGGGAATTCCTTCCGCAAAGAATCCTGTTGGGCTGGCTTGGCCAGAAATCCTCCTCACGTGATGTTTTCTTCTAGTAATTTCCCGTCCACAGACCCCTAGCCTGCTCTTTGGCTGTGTGCATCCCCGCTGGCCCACGCTGTATTCGGAACTGAGCCAAATTGACTCTGTACTGTGTCTCTCTCCCTCTTGCCACAGTGTCTGAATAAAGTGTTTTTACCGCTTTACTATCCCACTCTGCTTTTTCTTGGACCCTGAGCATGTGTGTGTGTGTGTGTGTGTGTGTGTGTGTGTGTGTGTCAGCTTGGAGAGGAATGAGTATCAACCACCAAGCTGTATTCACACTCACTCACACACACATGCCACATCCACACATGTCACACACACTCAGACAAGCACTGGCTCCGCCCCTGCCGCCCCTCTTCAGCCTCACACTCGGTTTCACTCTCCTTGTGGGGCCGGTGGAGGACCCTTCCCGCACAGGGAGGGAACCAGAGGGGGACGAGAGGGGGCCTGGTTGGAGGGAGGGCAGGGCCAGCGATGACTACTTACAGCCTGCTCAGGGATTGCCTGGGCTCCAGAACATTCCTGCCCCCAATCCCAGAAGCCCCTCCACCCTGCCACCAATTGAGGGGCAACTTGGGGTCCCCATTACAAGCACCTTTCTGGTCCAGCATTTGCAGGCTCTGCAGCGCACCTGGGAGGAGCTCCAAGGGCGGAGACCTGGGGTCGGGGTTAGGGTCCCCGTGCTCTCCCAGGTGGAGGGTTGCCCCGCCTGGTCCCCCTCCAGCCCCGGGCAATCACGCCAAAGCCGCGGACCTGCCTCACCCTCCTTGGTCGTCAGGGGTCTCTGTTTCCTCGCTGGAGGCTGAGGAAGGGGTTCCAGCACGCGCAGACTCAGAGGAGTGGGAACCAGGATGGCAGAGTGGGCTCAGGGGTCTCCAAGTCAGAA